GATGGATGGATGGATGGATGGATGGATGGATGGATGGATGGATGGATGGATGGATGGATGGATGGATGGATGGATGGATGGATGGATGGATGGATCTGGGATGCTGAAGGGACGGGTAGTTGAGCTGGGAATGATTGGCCGGCGGGTCCTACTCTCTTTTTTTTTGAGGAGCAGGTTGTAAAAGGCTGAGAGAAGAGGTAGTTGACTGGACTGCGTGTCGTGCTGGACTCGAACTCGATGCCACTCCCCAACGAAAGTACCCCTGGAAGGAGGAATTGAATTGGACGGGATGGGATGTTCCACCGAGCGCAGCAGTGACCGAACCTATCTTGCGTCTGGTCCAAGGTCAGAAGTCGTCGGATGTTGTGAAGCTACGCAATCTGTCAATGAGGGCGGGCAGGCAGGCAGGCAGGGAGGCGGTAAGGAGCCCTATCGATGGTAAGAAGATCCTCGTGGTGATCAAGGAATGGACTTCACAAACAGATTCACAGACGCCTGTTGTACTCACTCAGACCAAATGATCCGCGCTGACGGAACTGAAGAACTTGCAAGAGTTGAGCCAAAGAGAATGTGATGGTTAGTGTTTGAAAGCAACGAGGGAAGCACAACATGGAGGGCTTTTGTACTTCTTGAACCATCTTCCAAAACATTGAATCACTTGTCAATCGCCACAAGGGCAGACATGTTGTTTGCGTCCTCATCGCATGTGACGGGGAAAGACGGATCGAGGCCCAAATCAAAGCATTCGTGACAAAAAGAGAACACGACAGCGCGCCAACCATTCATTCCTGAAATGTCAAAGCGGGATGCAAGGACGAGCATCCGCTCTTTTGTTCCTCACCGTCACCCCTGAGGCTCTTTGCCGGCGGATTGAATAGCAAATCGTCCCGTGAGATCCAGACGCAATGGTTTGTATCCATTCGGAAGGGCTTCCACTTGACAAATAGGATGAACGATGTAGATCTCACCAATCACAATCTAGCAAAGCATCAAACCGGATCATGTTGAGCGGTTCCGGTATTGGAGTCTTCCGCCATGGCAGTTGCTGCTCGTTCACGTCCTCAACTGGTTCCTGGTTGGTCTGGGAGCTGGGGGATCAGACTCGCGGTCCTGGTGGTCAGTTGATAAGAGTAAACATTTCCCAACAGACAACATGAGAATCGAGAATGTGAACAATATTTTTCCGCTTTTGGAAGTTCTCTTTCATTAGCCTCAGAAGTTGCCCTTCTGTGTTTCCAAATCGTTGGTCTCCCCGGATGCCGTTCTCCGTTTCCCCTTTCCCCGTCATGTAGGTCGCCGATGATTCCTTGATTGCCCCTGTTGTAATGCACTTGCAAGATTCCGCTCAAACTGCCGCTATACTTGAATGTTTTTGGTCCGTTAGAAACAATTTTGTCATCCGATTATTGGTCGTTAGATACTATAAATATATATGGCAAATATATCCGTCAGATCAGTCATGAGGAGAGCCCTTTCCTCAGAACACGCCAAACCCCCTGGCGAACCATGTGAAGGACAAGATGGTGATTGCGGATGTCGTCAGGATCACGCCCAGCGCTTGCTTTTCATGGATGGAGAATGCGCCGCTGCAGGTGGCACACTTGAATTCGTTCAGCGGAGTATATGGTTGTCTGCACCTTGTTAGCGTTGAAGCCTCAAATGAATGAGACAGACTTACCCTGTGTACATCCCGAAGACATACTGCTCATAGGCCTCCAAAAACCCAGCGCTTGGGATGTCGGTGATATCTTGTGACGAATCGTGGATGATCAGGGTATAACTGGCAACCGGAAAGGGATTGGTGGCCGTTGCGAACATTTCACCAGTGTCCCAAGTAATCGCACCAGTTTCCTGTACCGACATATTGGAAGAGATTGTGTAGGTAGCATCGTTCAAGGCGCAGGACGCCAACACATCGATCGCAGATGGGGTCACCGACAGAGAAGTATAGTTCCAAGCAAAGGTGACGAAATCCCCGACCTTGTAGTATTGAGGGCCATCAATTGCAGCGGGCGTGATGAGAGAGACACCCCCAGGTGGTAAGCGAGGGTCGATTGCAGTTGTTTTTGTGCTCCTTATTGTGGTCGCGTTCTGAGATCCTGAAGCCCCTGACCCTGATCCCGACGCCGACGCCGACGGAGTTATCGTTGTGCCAGACTGAGAGCCCGACGAGCCCGATGAGGATGCGGACTGGCTAGCAGATGCACTTGGGGAATTGCTCCCGGTTGAGGAGGCATTATCGCCATTGTTCTGGTTCTGGTTCTGGTTCTGTCGAGGCACAATCAGGGCGTCGACTTTGCTGTCGAAAAAGCCCAGCCATGGCAAGGCCGAAGAACAAGCTGCAAAGAAGAGGAGGAGGGAGGAGAGGACAGGAAGGAGGCCGGAGCCCTTCATTTCGGGCGTTGAAGGAGGCGGATTCGTATGGCGTTGGTAGCACGTTGATTCAATTGAGGGCCGCTGCTGGTTCTCGTGGCAGAAACTGGATTGCAACGGAGATTTTGAATGGCATAGACAATACAATAGTAACGACTGAATGAAAATGACTGACAATAGCGAGAGTCTGGTGAGAAACGGACGACGAGGTGGCTTTCGAAGAGCAGAAAGGAGCGCAGGGCGATGGAAAAAGAGGCAGAGAGGAGCCTTGTCTCACCCTGGGCGACGGAATCCGGAACCCGCAACAACAGAGACACACCCAACAAGGCCTAGCAGCCCAGACGCGACCCCAGCGAACAGCAATCGGCGAGCCCACGAGCGCCGTTGACCACCTAAGCCACCCTCCGCCCGGGCATCTTAACCGTGTCGGGCTTGGGCTCTCTGGGCTCTGTTCTTATTTTGGTTCGCCCACTCACCCAACTCCCCGTCCAGTTGGATCGCGAGCCTCGTGTCTGATATCACGTTACCAAGCACGGTGTGAGAGTAACTGCGTATTCCAGTCACCTCTCCACACCACCTACCCTACTCGAAGGACCTCTTTGCCAGTACAGAGCATCTTCGACGCCGAGCTGCTACTAAGCACAGAACCAGCTGACTCTGACAGAACATGCCTGTACCTGGCATCTGCAGCAGACAAGTGTTGACCGAAATACCAGCAACGTGATCTGCTGGCAAGGGAGCTGATCGCACGCATGATGGCCGAGGATTTAGTCTGCAGCTTCTAAAGATCCTGATCATTGAGCGACATACTTTATCTGGGAGGAGGCTGCCTGCTCGGATCGTCGCGTCGAATCCCGAAACCTCATCGAAGGGTCACCTCCTTCCAGTCCATCAGACTGTTTTCTGGTTCGGGATATTGTGTACCTCTTGTCTGCTGCTGCTGCTGCTGTCCCAGTCCCACTGGCTCTGCTCGTTTCGAACCCGACCTATGCTGGAAGCTGCCCTGCTCTTGTGCCTCAATCACTGCAATACGGCGGCGCAAGATGTCCAAATCCATCTTCAACTTCACGTCAGAGTTTCTTCTGTGGTCATCATGTGGTAGAAGGCCATCTCTTGGGTCAGATATGGGTGACACACGCTGTCGCTTGATCGCTCCATCTGCTGTTCGTTTTCTCTGCGGCGACGTCTGGGGTGCTCGCCTAGCCTCACCCTGGCCGCAGATGGTATTTTGTCTGAGGGCATCGCCTGGTCTGGAAGCGGCCGCAGGTGGCATTCTGCCCGAGTGGCTTGTAATTTCGGCATTGCTGTGCTTGTCCGTAGTCTTGCTCGCGTATTCAACCTCCATTGCGTCCTTTTGCCACTTAGATTTTGACCGCTTTGCTCCTTCCGCGAGCTCATAATGAAACATTGTCCGCGTCCGTGGAATTCGACGTAGCTGCGACCGGGGAGAGATCTGACTATAGCACAGTTGCCTCGATGGAAGTCACTCTGGGCCACTGAAAGAAGTTGTGTGATCTCCTGGTAAACAGATTGCAGTGTCTGTGGCGTGTGAGGAGAATGCTGCATGGTGTTGAACACCTCTCCTTGGTGGCAGAATAGAGACACGAGATCGGGCATGGGATCTCATTACACGGTGGATCGAGGTCATTCACAAACACAAGTCACTTACTGAGACGTTTGGCCTGGGGTGCTTTATGGATGGATGGATCCCAAGAGAGAATCTACATACAAGCGTACGACAAACTTGCTGGATAATGACCTTTTAGATTCAATCCAGAACTTCTTCGGTAGCCATTTGGCTAATCGGAGTCTGTCCTCGCAGGTATTTGGCCTCCATATCACGACTATAACGTACCAAATTTCTCTTCAATTCAGCAACAGAGTGAAGCCATCTGCAACGACAGGTCAAATCGTAGTCTGCTGCGGTTGAGAGCAGCGGACGGCCACTGTAGCGCAGGAGAAAGGAATATTCCCACCAGAATTGACAGTGGCTGTACGTCCAAGGGGGCGCATTAAGGCACCCACCAAAGCATTTCATGATAATTGGATGAGGCGACCGACCACTTGTGTATGTACCGCTTGAGCGGGTCAACTGCAAGCTCGGTGGAGGGCCAAAAACGGAGGCTGTTGCTCGCCCTGGGTCGAGGGATTTGCTTGTCGAATCACGGGCATTTTCAGCTTCTTGGTGTCGAGAAGCTTCTTGCACTTATCGCACGGTCGGGCCATCAAATCGTGGTATGAATAAATCATCTCCTAAACCGGACTGTTAGCAGGGTCATATGGAGAAATGACGCCATGTGAGTGCCTACAAGGAGGTCTCCAAGCCGAGCTGTCTCCTTCGACTCTTGAATGCTTTGAACGACGTCAGCGCGCACGTCGTAGACGCCCGATGCTTCTGCACCAGACTTGTCAATGACGTTGAATGCTGGTCCGCCCAGAGACTGGCTCTTCTCAACTCGAAAGCCAAAACGGGAGACGGTGATGTCGATTGGCAAGAGGGATGGTTCGTTTGCCACGTGTATCTTCACCTCTGGATGCCTTGCGCGAAAGTCGTCCACCGTCTTTGCAATTTCGGCATCAGATGGGGGCTGAAACTCATTACTAGCGTCCTTTGCCGTGATGGATGTCTGCTCGTTTGCAGCAGCATCCCGTAGGAGACTGGCATAGTCGAAGGCCCATGCGTCTCCACCCTGGGGCAAGTCATTGGCGTGGACGGTTTGCCAGAGCTCGCGCACGTCGTCACTGTGCCAGTCCTTCTTGAATCTCTCAACGTCTCGACTCCCTGCCTGTGCCGCCGTCTGCAAATAGGCGGCGAGCTTTGCAGGCTCATAATTGCCAGGGTGGTCCAGCGCCGTTCGGGCTGGGTTGATCAGTTTCTCGGGCAGTAAAGTCCGAAGGTCACCAATCTCCAAGGAGGTCAGCAGTGGTCTCGAGGGCGTGATTGGTTCAGGAGAGATGCCAGAGGAAAGGCAAATGGACTGACCTGTGTGTACATGTTCTGCAATTTGGCGAGTTTCTCGATGATTTTGCGGTCTTCGGGGTCCACCGCCCCTGAGCCTGGGGGCAGCATGTCCGCGGACGCTCCAAGGTGCGCAGCGGCTGTTTCCAAAATAAAGCAGGTGTTACATCGAGAGGGTAATCAGTTTTTCAGCAGCAAAAGTACACCCTGATGAAAGCGAATCAGCAACAGATAGTATGACTTGGGAAATGCTGGCACAAACGCGCAAGGACGAACCCTACGAGGAGTGGCAAAGTCAGTCATGTGATTGTAGGCTTTATTCATAGACAGGTGTAGCACTAAGCCACAAAAGGCTAGTATCAATGTCCTCTCCAAAGCAGCGTGAAGTTTCCATTCTTTTTCGCCGGCTGCATTCATCAACCACATCCTTCTTCATCAAGCACACGATGCGGTGTCCTCCGGCCCTTCTGACACTGAAATGGTACTCACATGCGCTGAACATATCTTTCCCGTTTGCGTAAGCATTGCCACGTCCACCCATTGGTTGATCAATCGCACATCATCGCGGTCTCCACGAATCGGGATGCCCCGTAGTCTGCTCCTCTATGAACGCTACCAGCTCTCCGGGACTCAGGGATTCAGATACACACAGGACTTGGGGAGGAGCAGGGAGGCCTACGGTGCCGTGCTCCCCGGTCGAAACACCTGCATCTCCACGCGGGAAACTTTGTCTGATCGCTGGGACCGCGTTGCTGAGCCCGAAGCAAGTTTCGCAACTTGGACTCCTCTCAACGGTCAAGGTGTGGGAGCAACTGGCTCTTCCTAATCTATACCCTCTGTGCGAGCGGTGTCCGCACATCTTTTATCTTGTTTTTGGCACATTGCATCCTTGAATCAGGGGTACCTAGGCACTGTTTGCTGTATGGTGACGTCAATTCTCCAGTGTGATAGGCTTTGAAGTCGGTCTGTACGTTCTCTATCTCGGACATGCGGTGGCTCTGTCAATCCGCCTGCCGCAGAACCTGGTTCACTCCACATGCCTTGTCAGGTTTCAGTAGTCGCTTGAACACCACCACCGTGTGTGCGAACGGGGGTAAGCACAGTCGTGTCCAATACTCGGCGACATAAGGCGGCGCAAAAGGACAGTCTATTGTGAAATGGGGCCAATAATATTCCCTTCTCGGATATTCGTACAGAAGCGTTGATCATGGATGCTCGTGGAGAGCGCGAGACTCTAGCTTACGTCAGGTTCAACGACATTCTGCAATGGCGACGAGCATCATGAAATCAGTCCTGAGTTCAGGGTCGTTGAGCACCATGCTTGATCTTCGCCAGCTCGTTCAGACTGGCTGCAAGAAGCATGGATACTTGGCAGAGATACAAGGAACCACGCTTAATTCGAAGCGACCAGTCGCGCAATCTCCTTGCCTTAGCGCCCATCTACTATACGATGCCAGCCTGAAACGGGTATACGTCGAGGGATCGGCGGTCCCAGATTGTCACAAGAGGACATCAATGTTCAGAGCTATACTCTAACCGTCTAGATTTGAGAGACCAAACAGAGCATGTCGTGCGCTCGGACGAGACACCTCGGACCCGAGGCTAACTTTGAAGATCTACACCGAGACGGTCTCCATGCCCGCGAGGTACCCGTTTGGGTTATTACAGCGAGCAGGAGAAGTCGTTCGTCATAGCAGGAGACACTCAGCCACGTCTGGTTCGCCAAATGCTGTCTCGTCGTTTACGATTGCGATTTACAGTGTGGCATACCCGGACCAAAGAAGTATATGCTTGTATACCTCTTATGGCCGTTGTGGCTGGCCTGAATTAAAGGGGGAAGCGGGATAATGCAGTCTTACCCCGGATCATAGATGCGATATGCTGGGCTTGCCCGCGGCACCCGGTGCGCGGAATACCGAGTACACTCTGCCAGTCGAGGTAACACAAGAGTCGGCTTGCTACCATCCCAATACTACTCCGCCTCAGCTAATATGCGGCAGAGCCACGCTTGACATATCAGCATATGCTGATCATTCACGTTCAGAGGCGCCGCAGCCGTCGCTAGGCTCCATGTGTTGCGAACAACCTTCAGGCCCCATCAGTGGTATAGGTCGGCAATCTGATTGGATTGTGCGGGCCGGTACACTCGATTTGCAAATCCCCAGAGATATCCACTGTCAATCAAATCTGCCCGTCTCTCCGCTGACAAAGTGGTGGTTTTTGCCCCTTGTGCCAGTGAGTCAGAAACACCTCGGAGGGTTTCCCCTAGGCTCAAAGAGAGTATCTGGCGAGAGCTGACCGGATGAAGGCTGTGGGAAAAGCCAACCCGGACGATCATGGCGGAGACATAGTGAGCCAACAAATGCTGCGGCATCATCGACATATGTCTCCGAGCTCGATCTTGTGAACGGCACAATTAAGTCCGAGTGACGCTGATACCCGCCGGTCAAGGTGACTCGTACACTTTCCAACTTTCTCAGCTCGTCGATCTCCAGGCTTGGAAAGGGGGCTCGGGAACCCAAGTTAGAACATCGCACGGGAAGCATGCAACCCTAGCCATGCGGCGTATGACAAAACATTCGGAACAAATGGTCACCCAGAATCTACCCGCCAAATGTTCCAGAGTAAACGAGCAGCAGCTCTATTCGCGGTTGCACAGCGGCCATTGCCCAGTCCAGATTGGCATGTTGTGTGCTCCTCTTTTAGAAAGACGGCCAGGATAGCAATACAATCCAAACCAAAGTGCCCAGGTACCTGGATGCTCCCCGGCCACGCCACTGTAACCGGTCCAGGGCATGTCTTTTGTTTTGTTTGTTGTTGCGGTATTTCAACTTTACAAAGCAATGGCAACGGACCAAAAGCAAGCGATCCAGCTTTGTCCGAAACGGAATCAAGAGGCAGTAATCATTGGCGGGTTGCTCTGTTGATTCAGTGCCACCGGTGCCTAACCATAGCCAGCAGTTTTCACCATTTGGGTGCTGGTTCCCCTCCAGCAGTCATCAATTCTCACCTCCAAGACGCCCTTAGTGGCCCCCCTAAACCACCCGGGGGGGGGGCGGTGACCTGGGGACCGAGGGGACGGACAGGGCAGCGGGCGAGGGGTCCTTTTGGGCCTTGAAGAATGGGCAACAAAGAGGAGAAAAAGATACCAAAAGAGTGACAGACTAGCAAACGAGGGGGCTCCACCGGGTGTCGCCCAGCACGGTCAAGGACGGTCAGGTGTCGGTATGCTGCGATACGGGCTTGCGGTGAGACGATCAGCAAAGCAGCTGGCGCCTCCGCTGGTATTTCGTCTGCATGCGTAACGGCCTACCGGTACGAGTTCGTCGCGACTCTCTGGGCTAGGTGGAGAACTCGTTTCAATTTCCCTTTCGTCGCTTTCCGCCTTACCACCCAGCTCTGGTGGTTTGATGGGCTGGGGATCAGAGTGTGGCTCAATCCCTGGCCGCTTCGGCCGCGTTGGACCCGCCTACCCAAGCCTCCCAAGCTTCTCCCATCATCTCATGCAACTACGACTCTTTGACTCTTCTGGCGATCTGCTCTCTGGGTCCCCCTGGGTCCCTGGGCACTGGGTCCTGGGATGGGGATGCTGTCAGCAATGAGACCGGGGTCGATTCTAGCCCTACGAGGATTTGCCTTTTTGCCCTAAGCCATGATGGACGAGCGAAAGGCAAGTCGTGCTGGGCTGCTGGGATGCTGGTCCTACTATTAATTCATATGTCCTTCTTCGCCCCATGAGTTGAGCTCTGATGTTTTGAAACTTGCCAGCAGCTTGACAGCCCTGAAACTCTACGACCCATGGGAATCTGGCATCTCGCCTTTGCCAGCAAGGATATATATGCAAACACCCAGCACCAGCACGAGCACCACCACCAGCCCTACCACTACCAGCAACACCAGCACCACGAGCACCACCACCAGCATTGCTCCGACCAGCCGCCGCTTTGTTCCCAAATTAACACCAAAAATCAGCAAGAGGAAGATAGTGCTTGCTGCACGCCATGGCCGTTGAGACCCAGGACGCCATCTTCTCCCTGACCCCCCCGCCCAGCGAATTCGACGAATTCGACAAAAGCGCCTTGCTGACCTGCTCACCTTCCCTCCCCGGCCTCTGCTACCCTTCGCCGGCTCCTTCGAGTCGAGGGCATAATCCGTCCGTGTCATCAGAGTCTATATACATGCTTCCAGGCATGTCAATGTCCGATCCCCAAGGTCACGATCTACATCAGATATCTTTCGACGACACCTCGTCAGATTCTGCCTCTTTTTTTCCTGTACCGCCCGTCACCGATCCAGCGCTGACAGCCGACTTCAATACTTCCACCACCTCTGCTCCCTCATCCTCTCTTTCCCCCAACGCCTACGCCATGTATGAACAGAATCAGTGGTATCCTTACTCCAACTATCCCCAGCCCACCCCGCTACTGCCCTATGACCCGACCTCGTCGTCACACTTCTCTGCCTTCAGTCACCACCACCACCATCCCTCAGCCCATGTCATCCCTCCCACACCTCAGGACATTCAACCTTCTACACACTTCGACTTCTCCCAGGCTCCCACCTCGGGCATTCCGTCGACCCATCACCTAGCGGCCTCACCCGTCTTCTCTCAAGTCTCTCACCCTAGCTCTCAGAGTCACCGGGGTAGCGTCTCGTCGATGTCACGGTCATGTAGTCCCATCTCGTCGATGAGCCGAGGAGGTCACTCCGACTCGCTTCGCCCAGCTCTGCGGTCAAACTCGACCTCATCCAACACCTCTCTTCACGCCTATGGAATCCCCGTGACTGAACCAACCCCGTTAATGGTGACGTCTCTCCACCCCTCGTCGCCGTCCGGTGGCGTGGCTCAATCCTGGCGCTGCGCTTACCCCGGCTGTACGTCGCGTGCCACATTCACTCGAGGCTGCGATCTACGGAAACACTACAACCGGCACAGCAAGCATCTCTTCTGCCGCGTGGATGGCTGCCCACAGAGCGAGGCTGCCGCCGCCGCACGCGCCAAGTCGGCCGACCAGCCCCTCACCGGCGGCTTTTCCAGCAAGAAGGACCGCGCCCGCCACGAGGCCAAGCACAACCCGGGCATCAAGTGCGAGTGGCGCGGGCCCGAAGGCGAGGAATGCGGTCGGGTCTTTTCCCGGATGGACAACATGAAGGACCACGTCCGACGAATCCACAACAAAGGCCAACAACAACAGCACAACGGCGGTCAAGGATCAAGTCGCAAGTGATTGCCTGATCCAACGCGTAGAAGCTGAAAATAACCCGAAAGTTCCAAAAGGGATCTCCACCCCTATTTTCGCAGTGCGAGGGCTTCGCCTTACAGGGCCATCGAGTTCCAGTTCTCGAGGTTCCTGCGCTCGAAGCCACTGGCGCCTGCAAAGATACCACAACTTGTCACTCTCCAAGGCAGGAAATGGCAGAGAATTGGGAAGGGACAGGGAAGAGGGAAACGAAAAGAGGCAAGGGAGGGGGAAAAGAACAGAGACGGGAAAGGATCAGATGAAAGGGATCAGGGAATTCCCCTCCTTTCTAAGTGAACCGACTATTGTTTGTTTTTACACCTGACGAGAAAGAATCCGATATTTTCTCTGATGACCCTTGAAAAAAAAGCTCCTGACGAGTTCTTGTTTTGTCTCCATGACCCTCGTTTCCTCTCGAGGAGATTTGTTACCATCTGTGGGCTGGCGGGGAAAAAAAAGAAAGAGAATCTACTCCCCTTTTTACTTATTTTCTCATTGTGGCTGTTTTTTTTTTGGTGCCCTGGGATTGGGGTGGCGCTTGGGGTGTGTGTGTTTCGTGATGCTCTCCCTGTATTGTGTTGTGACATATGATGGAAATGGGACATGAACGGGAAGATATTATACTTGGGGCGAGGGGCACGACTGCCCACATTATAATGCGTTATGGTTTTTAAGGCTTTCTAATGCTTTTCTCATGCTTTCTCATGCTTTCCTCGTCTCTCTCCGAGTCTCCCTGACTCACTCACTTGCAGAATGTGTTTTCCTCAAGGGCTCCGAGTCCTCTCAACCTTTATCTCCCTGCCCTCTTCCGCTCCCTTGTCTGCATCGGCAACGTTGCGTCCCCCTTCCTCACGTCTCTCAGATTTTTGACGGTGCCATTCTATTACTACCTATGGACCACCATGGCGGTGAAGAAGGGGATGGATACGAGGAAACCCCCGTAGGGGACATGGAAAGGAAGGATGAGGGAGGCTGAGTTCTGGGATGGATAGAAATATGTTCAGATGCACACAGCATGTTTTGACCCTCCCGCGACGAATTGATACAGAGAAAATAATAGCAACAGGGCTGAAAGGTTGCTGCCTGCCTGCTGTTGCCTTGCCATCTGGCCTGTTCGCCTTGGGGTATTACTAACGTGGGGACCTGGATCCAGCAGGGTCGCGTCGCACGTAATAGCTAGACAGAAGGGCACAGGTACCTATTGAAATGACTCCCCCTTCGACGGGGGTGGTGGTGGCGACGCGTACCTGCCTACTATGTACGGAGTCATCCATGTACCTAGGTACCTAGATATGGTATGTATATGTGTATGTACATAGGGGTTCCTACCTAGTACGCATTTCATTTCCATCGTCTTCTCCTCGCCCTAGCATGGCGCATGCGCATGCGCACCCGCGCCCGCACCCGCATCTACGAGTAGAAGACAGACCAGATGAGATGAGCCGCCACAGGACTAATCAGTAAAAATTGCGCTCACGTACTCGGTACCGGCGATGTATCTTGGTTCTCGGATTCGTATACGCATGGACATACGACTCCGAGGGGAGTGTTACGATTAGTAGCGACGCTCACGCGGCCGCCACCTCCTGCTCCTCCTCCTCCTCCCAAGCTTCACAGCCCCATTTTTGTCATTTTACATCATCCATCACCATGGCTCATCATTCGTGACTCTACCTAGCGGGTCCGAGGTGGTCTTTTGCGTATCTTTTGCTTACATACGTACGTCCCTTCATATGGACTAGGTTGTTGGTAAATACCAAGTACCTGATACCTACAGTCAGTACCTGCATTCCTCCTGACTACTCATTTACAGAGTAACCAGGTTACCTCCCGAGCAAACCCCTACCCGTCCGCTGCCCTGTCGACAGACAAGCAAGTCAAGATTTGGTGCAGAACCTTTGCCCATATCGGGGCTATGCTTTCCACCCCTCCAGGACCACAGCCGTTGAGGGCGGGCGAGTAGATACTCGAATGCGCACGTGTGTTTGTATCGTCTCGTATTGAATAGGCATGCTTATGTATATATCCAGCTGCACAGTAAAACCAGTCAGGGCAGGAGAATGGATACAATGACACTGCCACACCCTTTGGTCCCCTCGTAAGGACCATTCCACATCCGGACACGTTGCACTTACTTCCTTTGGACAATGGCGCCTGTTGCTCATTGCTCGTTGCCTATTGCTTATTAGCTGGCGCCAACACGACTTACGGAGAACACTCTCGTATGCACGAGTAGTAGTCATAGCCCCGAGGAAGGGCGTGCTGGGTTCTCATCCTGTCAGGAGCCACGAGTACGACTAGTTTGTTACCGCTGATGCCGCTGCTTTACTTCCTTACGTACGATATTCCGGCGGCACGCTGGGCGAGGCTATGCCTCCCTGCGACTTGAAGCGCTCTGTCCTTTTTTTATGATTAGCTCCGGGAGAGGTATATCAGTTGATTCGATGGAGGGATATTTCTGGAGGGTGCAGGCTGCGTGGATTCGGCGGTAATGCACAAGGTCGAAGCTCGAAGCTCGATCAGTGCTGCATGTCTGTTGCTGTTGGTTGCTGTGCCACCTACAATATCAGTATCAAAGCTTGCGAACCTTTCTGTCTGTTTGTCTGTCTGTGGTCGCCCCAGACGATAATAGGCAAATATCCCTAGTCCTATTGCTCGTGCCGTGTCGTATGGTCTTGTCTGATTAGATGGAAACCCGGAAAAGCAAAGGGGATGGAACTTTTGCCACGCCCACCACCCCTGTCAGTTGCGCCTCTTCCTCTTCTTCCAATCTATGGCGCTCATGCAGGGGAGAGGGAGGAGGAGGCCACTCGCAAGACCAACAAGATGACAGCCCAGCATTGTCTGGATGCTTCGTCGTTGCTCGCAAGCATGCCAAAGCAACGTCGTCCAAGCCAAGCGACGAAGGAACACCGGGCTCCCCAAAGTATGACCATATGCGTCCCACACGTCCACACCGGCTAGCATAGGTACAGACAACCCTGTCTCGGCGCTTTTCTTGGAGAAGGATTACGCCCGTTGCTGCATTTCAGCCCTGCTGCAAGGCACGCGTAGCGAGAACCGTCTTGGACAAAATGATCAACTCCCTTACCTAGAGAAGCCGCCAGACTGGCCGCTATGATGATGACGATTCTAACCCAACCTTGAGCATCTTCCTATTTTCTTAGGGGACTTCCGGAGCGGGACAAAAGGAGGACAGTTTGTCACCACCGCAGATGTTTTTTCAGCTGCAGGCTCCACATGTTAGTTAGCTCCTGGACATCCTGGAAATTTCGAAACGTACGAGTAGGGACGGCAGAGCCAGTGCTTTGTATCCAGAGATTGAACAAACCTTCAAACGAGAATCCAAACAACAACCCATCGACAGCCTGGCAGCATTTGGCAGCATGCCGCGCCATTCAACGATTAATTGGACCGTGCATACCTCCATACCCCCAACGGCTCTGTGCATACGCTGGTGGGGATGCTTGAAACGGGCCCGCCTAGCTGGGCACGAGTTGGCGATGGTGGGGGCCAAAGTTGAGAAAAATACGCTCCCCCCCTTCAAGATTTGAGTTCGATCCTGGTATCCCTGAGCCATCGTCCTCCCATCTCTGGCCCATCGGAACTCGGAAGCTTTCATAAGCAGAAGTTGCGGTAGACCGTCACCCACCGTCACCCAAGCGTGGATAGGCCGTACATTTCTAGCCCGATAAGTCGTAGACCGCGAAAGGTGGGCCATGGTGGACCAGGGGATCTGACCAGGGGGCAGAGGGTCTCTGGTTCCAAGCAAGCGCCCACCCAGCGCCCATGATCAAAACGGCTCGAGGGCTATCCTCTGGTTTGGTACGCCGAGATCCACACCAACACGGCACAGAACCTCGCCCCGTTGCTCCATTCTTTTTTGGATACCCGTAGGTACCTCAACCGCGGTGACGACGCCTGGCTCTTGACCGTACTTTGGAACTCCAATACGATCGACAGACAGCACATTGCACTGTGAGCCTGTGCCGATCTCCTCATGGCGACCGGGGTTCTGCGACTAGTGACATGGTGTGCAAACCGTGGTGTTTGTTTGTTTGTTTGTTGCCTGGATTGTGGGTTGCGCAACATGCAAGCTGCACCACCAGTGCACCACCAGCCCAGTGCTACTCCTGGGCATTCATCCGTCAGCCCTGTGCGGAGGTACTCGACCCATGGGCTTCTGAAGCCCCATGCCCGACCTCTCTTGGGTCCTTGGGACGAAGTAGTTGACAGCCTAAGCCGATTGGGTTCCTGACTAAGCTAGTCAGCACGATCGTCCACCGCTTTGTTACTCTTGGGATTCGTTAGCCGGAGATAGAGCTTCTTTTTGCCTTCTTCCGTGGTACGCTCCAGTGTTGAGGTGAGACCAATTCGTCTCGTCTGACCATACGAGAACGTGCCTCCGTCCTAGACCCGACAAATCATGTCACGGAAGGCGGAATTCGTTCCTCATCGGGATCATAATGCTTGCTGTACTGCACGCTTTCACACGCTTGTGCAACCGGTGTGCAAGGTTCAGGGCAGTTCAGGGCAGCATGCTTCGAACTTCAACAAGACTGGTCTTGCACAGTAGCTGCGTGCAACCGACGACTGTGTGCGCAATCATTTCTCGAAGCTGAACGACGGTGACAGTGGCACAAGTCCGTCCGAGTTACCAGAGCTGGCAAGTCGGGGATAAGGAGAGTGATGTTACATCGCCATAACCATTACTATCGCTGTATTCCATGATGGGTTTGGGCACTCAAAAGGACAGACTCGATTGGAGATTTCGCCCGAAGCGTGTGGCCTAGCAGCTTGGCCACGACGCATTGCAACTGCCCAGCCCAGTCCAGTTCAGTCCAGTTCAGTCGAGCTCGCTCTTGCTCAGTACCAGTATTTTCAACTCGTTGTTTTCCACCGGCCGCCAGCAGCTCCCCAGTCGCGTTGCTTGTCAGAACCTTGAATGAATGATCGGCTAATCATTCTGACCAAAGACAAGAGCGAGAAGCCCGAAGGCGAGGGTGTGCGGTGGATGGGAAATTTCCATTTGAAATCAACTTCCACATACTCGTTGACGACGGCAATTCATCAAAAATGGTGTTTTCCCGACCGTGCCCACCTTTTTACCTCGTCTGGTGAGGATTTGCCGGCGACCATTCTTAGCGTGGCTTGGGCCAACACCAAGTAAAAGAACTGGGCCGTAAGCTTCACGGGCTCAGTTTCACCAGGGCGCCACAGTTGCAAACCAGCCGTTTTAGGTACCGGCTTCGTCGCCCATGATTTGATCGCACTCTGGCGCTTGAATTGTGGGCTCGGAGAAAATCATCACCTCCGTCCCCAACCGTCTCGCTCAACTAGCTGCTCGCCTATGGGATCAGATGAGGGGAGGTTGAGAGGGGTTGACAGGTAGCCGTTTGAGCCCGCGTGGTCCCCAGAGTTTATCCGCTCAAAAGTATGCGAAACTGCGGCAAGATTGCTGGGCGACTGGTGCCGACCCCAAGCCCAAGCCCCGAGCACAAGCCGGATGATGGAAGATAGAATGCTGAAAGCGTCCCCGTGATTGAAATATCCTGCATAGCGTACGAGGCACTCGTCTCTCTTTGCCTGGCAGGGTCGAAATCAGCATCTGCCCAGGACGCGCACCTGCGTGGCGACAGGACTGACTGCCATGGGGTCATGAAGACGCTCACTATGCCCGAGGAATTCGAGTCATGACACAAAAGACTAACGACAAATCTCACCCACCAGAGGCTGGAGCTGCAGCCGACGGAAAAGAGCTTGGGATGGGAGTGGAATCACTGCGCTCGCCGTTGCAGGGCCAGCCGACAGTCTTACCTATTGAAAATTGATATCTTCTCCGACTTCAAGTGCAAAGACACCCTTCATCGCAAGAAGCTCTGACCGTCGACGTCGATGTTGACTTTTGTTTAGATGAGCCTAGAAGGGCAAGGACGGCCACTGGAATGTTCCGACTGTACGGTCCTAGTCAGGGGAACGCCAGCTCGCCGGTGAGCACTACCTGCGTGTGTGGAAACGGAGTCCTCCTCCTCCTTCTCCTTCTCCTGTCCCTTCTCCTCTTTCTCCCCGATGGCACCGAGCCTGCGGACGCCCAGCGGAGATGTGTGGCGACGGCACATGCTGGCGAGTTGTGAGGAGAGGAAGCACGGGCAGATCCCATGGCCTCTCGCTCGCGTGTCTCGCTTGCTTATGTTACCGAGTTTGGCAATCTGCCTTGTAACCAGATACCAAGAACAGGAACGGGGACAAGGAGACCCGTCCCCGAACTCGCTGACAACGGTTCGGGGCAGGTCCAATGATGACCTGCGCTGCAGGAAGAGGTTCCAGTTGGGAGGCCAACATTGTCGATGGCATGGGATTCGCTGGGTTCCCGGGTTCTGACGGGGCTTCGACGGGCTATTCATTTGTTTTCTGCTTTGTATCTTTCGAGATCCCTGCATCCAGGCTATTATGGGCTTATCCCTCCTCGAAGCGGCCGTTCCTCGCCCCTTCTCTTTCGAACCCTACTCGCTTACCGCATGCAGGTGCCTGTTTTCGTTCTTTTTTAGACCAGGTTCGAGTCCGAGTTCGAGTGAGCAAGGAGGCGTCAAGGGCGGTGGTGGGGTCCGACACTCTCGAAAACTCGGCGCTTGCGACGTGTCAGCAGTAAAGGATCCTTTTGACGCTCTGACAATATACCCCGGACGGATAAGTAATCAACAAGGATGAAGAACTCGGACGCGACATTACTTAAGATGGAACAAGGCGACGACAAAGGGAAGGTGGTACGTTACTTGTCATCCACGGTGAGAAGCCCTTGCGAAGGTAAACGTAATCTTTGCGGCCGCTTGATGATGAAGGAAGAAGCTGCAATCTTCCGTTGCAACTTCAACCCTTGTGCACTATTTACGAGGGTGGCAGATAACCGAGCCACAAACTGCCTCTCCAGGACGAATCTTACGCCCATCTCTTTCGCTCTATGACTTCGCTCTATAGCTTCGCCTTCCCCAGCGAGTCCTCCTTGAGTTTCTCTATCAAGCCATAAGCCCACTCTCCGTAGGCAGGCATCTGCGCCCCATAGTTTTTCGCAGTCATGCCGCTGGCCTGTCTCCGAGCGTACCTTGCTGCTATACCTTGCATGATGATTGCGCCTCGGAATCCTCCAAAAGCAGTGCCCCAAGCCAGCTCGTTGGCGGGGTCATATCCCGACGCTTCAGCGTACCATTGCACGACCTGGTCCAAGGTGGGAAGCCCGGGAGTTACCCCATCCTTGAAGGCTTCGGTTTCGCCCTGGGCATGAGCCGTGCCTAGATCCCTGCCAACCCAGCTCCACGGCGCCGTCAGATTAACAAGATCTGACAAAGGGTGTCCAATGGTGGCCATTTCCCAATCCAATATGCCAATGACTCGAGGCTCGGTCTTGTGGAACACCAAGTTGTCAATCTTGTAGTCTCCGTGGATCAGCGTGACGCGGTCTTTGGGCTGGGTCGACTTTTGCTTGAAGAAAGCCACCATGTCATCGAAATGCGGTATCGCTCCCACGGGCTTCTTTGTGTCGACGTCCACCGACTCCGCTTGCACCTTGGATAACGTCCCGAAGGTCTTCAGCTGGCGGTCGTAGAAGTTTCCATGACGGCCGAAATCGGAGAGTCCAACTTTCTTGAAGTCGACTCGATGGAACTTTGCGAGTGTCCGAACTGCATCGTGCCACCTGCACAGAATATTAGCACTGGATATTGTCTCGCGAGTGTCTGACATCCACCTACATTTCTCTTCGTTCTTCAGGACTAAACCCCGGGAAGTGCGGCTCGGTCACCATGCGCCCGTCCAAGAACTCCATGATATAAAATGCGGTGCCAATAACGTTATCATCTTGACAGAGGCAGTATACTTTCGGCACGGGGACGTCCGTTTGACCCAGGGCGTTGATGATCTTGTACTCGCGGTCGACTTGGTGGGCGGTTTTGGAGAGTAATTGACCGGGAGGCCGCTTGCGCATCACAAACCTGGCGCCCGTCGAGTCCGTGAGCTGGTACGTAGGATTCGATTGACCAAACCCGAACTTTGGGAGTGTTAGTACCAACAACCCCCCACCCGCAAAGCATCAAAATCCAAGGACTGGGGGCAGGCATACCTGCTTCAGCTCGAGCGGCGTCTTGATCTCGGGGACATTACTGTCGATGTAGCGCTCAAGAGACGCCAGGTCGATCGGCTGCCGTACTGGGCCTGCCATGGCTGTCTACCTAGTTGGGTGTCAGGGCAGACAGACAGGAAGCTCGTGTCGAAGCCGCAGGAAAGTCGGCGGGCTTTTCTCATTGTGAGGTCGTGAGCACGAGGGCCCGAGGCGATTCTTAACCTCGGTTTCTTTGGCGAGAAGCCACCGGATTTGCAACGGAATTGGCCATAGAAATTTGTATGGCCCGACGTAGTAACCACTTAGAGAAGTACGGCGGAACGTCATTTAGCCGAAGCGCAAAACGCGCTCTTCGCGCGTCGAGGGGTTGTACCTCGCCAAAGCGTCCTTTTCGTGTCTTTAACAACCCAAGCAACCTCCTCCAACAATCCTCCCGAACGAACAGATAATGACAAGAGCATCGACTCCTCCACCCACGGAAAACAAGTCTACAGACCATTTACCTCCCTCGCTGCCCAACTCTCCGCTAGCCAAACGAGTCAAAGCAGACACTCCGTCCAAGATGTCTTCCACCGCCAATCCCACAACCACCACAACCGCAGTGCCCAAACTGTCATCCACATCCCAGCCTCCTTTATTGATCAAGAAGCTCTCCGCCGACGCCTCGACGCCGACGCGCGGCTCCGCCTTCGCCGCCGGCTACGATCTGTACGCATCGAGACCCACGACAATCCCGCAGCGAGGCAAGGCCCTCGTCTCAACCGACCTCTCCATCGCCACACCCGAGGGCACGTATGGCCGCATCGCGCCGCGGTCGGGCCTCGCTTCAAAACACTTCATCGATACGGGCGCTGGGGTGATCGACGCGGATTACAGAGGTGAAGTAAAAGTGCTGCTGTTCAACCACAGCGAGGTCGATTTCCAGGTCAACAAGGGTGATCGGATTGCTCAATTGGTCCTGGAAAGGATATACACGCCCGAGATTGTCGAGGTTGAGAATCTCGAGGAGAGCGTGAGAGGAGCAGGCGGGTTTGGAAGTACCGGCTGAGCTGTGCGGTTTCTTGGACTGGCTCAGACGTCTCATAGGGCCGGAGTGCGTTGGGTATCGGTCTTTTGGAGGGGGCAGGGCGTGGTACAGGAAAACTAAGGCAGAGACAGACGGAAAAGGGGTCTATGGTGTTATGTGTTATGGGCATCTGCTGGACGCAATGGAAAGGATAGACCGGTCAATGGATAGAGAGGAGCAGACACAGGGCACAATTGCCATACCGAGCAACGCAATCGTCGCTAGGTATCAACTCTGTTTTCCCTTTCTTCTCTCCCAACTTCAGGCTGTCAATTACACCTCCATCGCCTGAGCCTTGTACCTCTCTCCCGGACTGACCAAATCCCTTGCATTCCTAACCACCCTTACCTCGGCCGCTTTACTCTCTGCCAGAAACCTCCTCATACTCTCACTGACCGTTTCGCCCTCGCCCTCGACGCCGCCGACACTGGCGCCGGGACTTGTGCCGAACTTTTTCATCTCGTCGTTGCGTGCTGTGATGGTCTTCTCCAGGATCGTGTGCATGCTGTTCAGGACCTTCTCCGTGGCGCGGGCGAGCGGGAGGTCGAGGGGTTCGACGTCGTCGTCGGGCACCCACGAGGGCCGGTCGAGTAGGTTAGCCTGGGCGCAGGCCTCGCGCAGCCGGGCCACCATCAGCGCCGCAAACATGTCGCCCGTGCCGCTGAAGTAGCAGTCCAGCACGGGGACTTCGACCTTGAATAACCGCGCACTGCCGTCCGTCCGCCGACTGCTGCCCACGACTGTCAATGCCGCACCTCCCTCTCCCTCCGTGCCCTCGGGCATTGCGGAAGAGTCGCCGACTCTCACACTCGTTACCACCACGTGCCGCGTCCCATACACAGCATGCAGCGTCCTCACCGCGTTGGCCACGCCACTCAAGCTGGAAATAGTCGTCCCACTCAAAAGTTCGGCCTCGAACTGGTTCGGCAGGATCAAGTCCGCCTCCTTGATGAGTTGCTTGTACGCAGGCACGATATCTTCGCTGACATACAGGTGGCCCTGGTCCCCCATCACAGGGTCCAAGACCCAGAAGAACCCTCCTGGGTGCACAGCGGAGCGGTAGCGGAGGTCGCGGGCGATGGTCCCGATGGTGTCGACGACTTCGGCCGAGGGCGAGTAGCCGGACAGCAGGACGTCAAAGTCCGTCAGGTAGGATTGGCGGAGGCCGTCATATAACTCGCGGACCTCGGCGGCGGGAGTCCTCCGGCCTTTGAATTGGCGGTATCCTGTGTGATTGCCTTTGAAGGGCGGGAGCAAAGATTCTGGTCAGACCGGTGGTCATGGCACAAGGAAAGGCAAATTACGGGGGTGAAAAGAGAGGGGGAACACATAATATCAGATCTCGAACAGGAGAGGGTATTCTTATCGCATAGCTGGGATGACTATCGCAATCGTAGACCATGTCGAGCGTAATTGGGAGAGAAAGGAACAGTAACTCACTGAAATTCACGGTATTGATGGCTCCAACATCACACCCGAGCACCTGCAACACAAAAGTGGCCATCGTATTGCCGACATACCTGAACAAAAACAGACCACCCGAGAACCCGTCAGTCACCGACTTCCAGCGAAGACTATGCAAGTTTCCAACAGAGCATCATCACCATCATCGCCGTCGTCATCTTGTCACCATGACTATGACCATCGAGCTCATAATCATCCCAGCGGAGGTGCACGTGCGCAGTAAAGAAGAAGGGGCAAGGGCCACGAAAGAAACAGAATGTCCTCGCACCGGCTCGAGACTCACCCATAGACGACATGGCTCGCTATGGCCAGAACTTTTGTTTCTGGTATCGACATCTCATGCAGCGTCATTGCATCTTATTTGATTGGAATGAGGTGGGGGGGAATGTGAAGTTTTGAAAGAAGAGGGGAGGGAGGGTGGGAGGGAGGGAACGCCGTGGTCAATACGATGGCTGATACTTGTGTCCAATGTCGAAGCAGAAGAGGTAAAGGGGTGTATATTAAAGTGAATACGACACAATTGCAGGTGGTGAGTGTCGTCGGGTGTCTAACGAGGCATGATCAAAAAAAAAAGTGATGATTGATCTGATGCGCGCAAGTATGACGCACAATCTCCATCCTCCAATAATCGACCAGAGCCTCGCCGCCCGCCCCCGATAAGGAGAAGTTCTGATAAGAAGAAGAGGGTTAGGAACAAGTAGAGGATCAGAGCAAAGAAAGTGAGCTTCTTGAACATTAAGTCATTAATTAGCTAAGGAGATGACTTTTGATTCTTCGCCCCGGCCACCTCGTCTTTACTGCCCTCACTTGGTCGATACCTGAGCAAATACAACTGTTTGTCCATAGCCATCACGGGTAACCCATCTACTCGATACATCGAAAGGCTCCAGAACACCCAAACCGCCAGCCATTACTGAGATGCTTCTCCCGCCTCGCGACCAATTGAGACCTGCCTTCTGCTTAATTACTAAACACACAGTTCGCCATTGAAAGACTACGAATGGATGATCTGACCTGGAAGCTTCAGGGGATTAGGCGGCGACGGATCTGCATCGGAGGAGAAGCTGCACTTTTAACGTCCGTACGTACGCTGTACACGGTCTCGAACCACGAAATAGTCACACGAGAAGATGAGTCTTGATTTGGAGGACTGTGTGTGCGAGTAGGAGGCGGCCAAGTCTTCATACAGGGTATCCTGCTCGTAAATCAGACTCGAAAACCAGCCGGGAATGTCGTTGATCATCTGCGGAGTTCGCAATAGCCACCACCACTAACCGCTTCACGTCATCGTAAATCTCTGGGCTCCATACAAAGCATTTGCCATTGTCGTCCTAAGCATTTCCAAGCATGTCCTCGTTTCACTCATCATCACCGATCTGTAATCGCTCGGGTCAATACCGTCACACGGCGTTCTCGCCGGAGAGAAAAAACATACCTTGGGGGCAAGATAGAACCGCAAATAGCTGCTTCCCGACAAGTTGTATTCCACCAAAAGAGGCACTTCCTGCGAGAGGCAGAGTTTGACTTTTGTAGAAAGACTACTTGCTTTGCAGAAGTTGACCAGGTATTTGAGCGAAAATGTCAGCGAGACAGGCTCCGAAAGAGCAATCTTGACTTCTTGATCCGGCTTGTCCACGGACGAGTTCTGTCGAATAGTGACGCTGCCGGAGCCGATGTCGCCTTGACACGAAAAGCGAACGCCGTCCTTGCTTGCTTCGATCGACACTAGGGATCATCAGCATGGGTTGTTGCTCTTGTCACAGTCGCCGTCCTCAACACACCTGACTCTGACATGGCAATCAAATCGCGGCAAATGCGCTGAAATTCAGCACTCGGCATCTCAATCGTGGCTGAATACTCGGTGTCCGGGATCCCCAGATGCTCTTGGTCAATGTCCATCAGCTTGATATCGTATTCACTGATGCGATCCGTGTCGCTGCTCTCAAAGACGAGGTTCACGACATCCGGAGAGTCTTCGGCCTTGATGGTGAGGATGTCTTCGTTCTGGGCGGCGCGGATGACTTTTGTCAGGGAGTTGAGGTTGATGCCGAGGGCAATGTTGCGGTCGCATCGGTAAGGGGAGAACATCTCTGCTTTGAGCATCATGGAGACGAGGGCCACGTGGGAGTTGTCCATGGCTTGCAGGGCGATGCCGGAGTCATTGCAGTCGAAGTTGCAGTCTTGGACGAGGTCTTTGATAGCATCCACAACCTGCACAAGTATTTAGAATGCCAGTTTGAACCAGAAGATGGGGACAATACCTTCTTCAGCATCGCTGCCTGTTCAAGTCGTGCTTCCAGCACTGCACACGACATTAGCCACGTTCCCACTGCGATTATTCCTGGTCCTTACTGTTTGCGATTGTTTTGTACTTTACGCTTCTCGTAGAAATACAAGTCGGCGAGGACCAGTTATTTTCTCAGAATCGAAGCTTAGATGTTGGATAGAAAGACACAACGACGAGCCGCAATGGACGGGGTCAATCTGGAATTTCGATACTGCAAGACACGGGTCGCGCAGCGCGTTCCAGGCTAAACCGCTTTGGAACAAATTACTTTGGGCTCTTGGCGCTTGGGCACGTGAGTTTCCGCCCTGCCGGGCTCCCCTTCTAGGGCGCGAGCTTCTCTCACTTTTTCCCCTCCAACTCTGTGGGATACTGGAAGCGCGTCATTGCGGGAACGGCGGGTAAGAGGCATTTTGATTGTCGCCTTGTTTTTTCTTCTATGCTGGAGTCCGCACCTTCGAGAAGGAAAAAAAAAATGTCAGTCTTCTATGCCTGTCGCCGAGTTCCGATTCTATGCAGATGTTATGCAGATGACGCTTCGGATGCAGATCGCTTGTTGGCGCTGAGAGGCGATTTTAAGAGCTCATCGCAGCACGTATGATGACCAAATCATCACAGACAGCTCATGATGTCGAGTTTCATTCTTCGGTCCCGTGGCGTGCAATTCATACGCAACTCACGCTCAACACTATGTATCACGTGGAGCGCCCTGCTTCTGACAGCTTATAGTAATCTATATAAGTACTCCGTACCTGAAGTACCTACCTAGGTAGGCAGCAAGGCCCCCCGTGCCAGGCTCAGCCTCGTGGGCGAAGACCGAATTTGGACGTTACCGTATTCGCATCAACATGTTCGCCACACAGCACTGGGCTATGTGGATGCTGCTTGAAATCTGAACATACAAGGACGAGGACCACAAAAGAACCTACTAGTCCTCACAGTAACTTTTTTCTTCCAACAACAATTATGTCCGTTCGGGAGGTCCGTCCGTTACAATTTATGCCTAACGCTATGCTGCCTATTGTGCAAATTCCCCAAACACTCGAGAATGTCCGGCTTGCTACCCTGATAGGGGTAGTTCGTTGTCGCCACCGTTACGCTGGGCATGCGGACCTTTCTCAGACCTCTCACCACGGAACCGCATGCTCCCGCAAACACTGCTAGGGAGAGCAACTGACGCCTAGGCTTTCCTTCGAACGAAGCACGATGGAGCCTAACGTGTGGCGACGTGGGGCCTGGATATTGGGGTGTCATTTCTGGTACGACGTCACCAAAGCGGCCTCAAGAACCATCTGCAGCTCGTGGGCTGTTGAGCATGGAGCGAGACAGACGGTCGTTCTGTCGAAAATACGGCACAAGGTTGCGATAGAACACAGAGTCCGAGTCAACGGTCGCGAAAACAGTGAATGCGCCCAGAGAGTTGTGGTCGGGATAAGCAGAGATTACAAGGCAAGGGTGTCCTTGGAACCTTGCAGGTTGCTTTGTCCGATTCGTCCCTGGGGAACTAGAGGAAACGAAGGGAGAATTTTCCCGTTGCATCCAAAGATGTGACAATCAGCCATTGGCTGTCTTTTTACAAGAAATAAAATAAGCGGAATCTGTGATCAGAAGAAACGAACGTGATGTGACCCAGCTCTTTGGTTGCCTGCAACCTTGTTCCCATTTCCTCCTTAATGCACTGTCCTGTCAAAAAGGTATTGTCGCGTCAGAAAGGCTTCAAGCCCAGCCGAGAATATCAATCTACCAACCGGCCAAAATCATCGAGGTAACTATGTATGCAGTTAGTTGAAGAACGTCACGAACTCTAGAATACATGACAAGACTTCCGTACCTCTGTAGGTAAGCAGATAAGCGAAATCCGGGTATCTGCGATGCTCGCCGCAGGTACCGTATGGCTCTGTGAAAGTATTGCTCATTCTGATGGGAATATGAGACGTTGCCGAGACTCATGTTCGCTTCGGCGGCCTGCAAGGTAGTGAAACCGTTATAAGTCAGTCGCTCAGTTTCAAATTTGGCATGTGGAGACCGGGCGGATAGATGGACCAAGGAGGAAATCGTCCTGACCTCTGAGAGCAGCTCCCCTGCGAGTTCTCCATCTCTTTCGGCCACGTCGACAGCCCTAGAGAAATAGTCGACCGCCGGAATGAGCATTCCGCGTGCTTCCACATAATCAGGCGTGTGTGCTCTGGCATCAGCTTCGGCAGTTGCCCGTTCTGCGTCCCTGGACTCTTCAGCCGTCGAATATGACAGTCTCTCGCTTAGGCTCTGAGGCCGGCCGCTGCTGCCGCTGGAGGAGCTTCCCTCGGTTCGATGGATTCGTGCGAGAACGCTTTGAGATCGAGCTAGCCACGCTTGACCCAGACCTGGAATTAGGTAAGTAGATGTTTTTTCCACGGAAAAGATTGGTAAGCTGGGCAAGTTGACTAACCCCTGAGGGCAGAAAGATCTTCAGCGTTTCTCTGCAGCAACGATAGCCACTGGTTCATACACCACTCCGCGACATCGGGGACCCCAGCACCTTCCGCATCATGATAAGCCAGACTTTGCAACGATGCAACGACGAATGTCCGGTCGGTATTTCTGTTGGGCATCTGCATGAACCCTGTCGAGTCCAGCGTTGCGATGACCGTCCGTGCAATGTGTAGCCGTTGTTCCCAGGATTCTGGAGCGGAGGGATTTGTGTCTGCAATGCGCCTGACTTCCCGGATGGCACCTTCGATTTGCGCCTCCTCGACCAAATTGAGTCCATCCAGCCCGAACCCCTGACGTGACATGCTCCGATATTGACGGGAAGCCCGATGAGAGATTGTCAGAACGGTTAGACAAGGTCTCTACTGTTCGTTTCGAAAATCCTGCAAGTGGTAGGCACAGACAGTGTCACACTCGGCATATCAAGCCTTTCCAGAAGGGTTTATGGGGGAAGAAGTTTCCGAAAAGTCCTGGACTGTGAGATATTCAAATAGTTTCCAGCCACAGCACCTCAAGGCCACTATATACCTAGAAGGCAGCTGCGATGAGATGTGGCTGCAGTCATTCGCAGGCGAAAACGTCGAATGGAGAGAGAAAAGGCCGTGACCGGCAGACGAATCACAAGAGCAGTTGCAAATTCTTAGACGATACTTACACATATGCAGAGAGGATCTTGATGCGTTTCGAGCCCCCGCCAGGCTATAATAGCACTTCTATAGGACCACGAGGTCAAACCTTGCAATTTGGCGGTGGCAAATGCACTCTTCCAACCAAGGCCCAGGGGCAAGGTCTCGACTGGAGATATATTCCCAGAGAGTCAGGGCTGACGGGGGTGCGAATGGAACGGCCCATTAGGACGACCGACAAAGAGGTCCAGAAAGAGGTAAGTGTTCCTTTTGGAGCGACAAGGAGGCTTGGACTCACCTGCAGCCACAATGCGACATTCTCTAAAAGACTTTGCCTAACATATGTGGCAAAGAAAAAAGAGGTTTGGACATGGGTCTAGCGAACAAGGTATGGCGACGGGGATCGATTACAGTATCACTTCTAGATGGCCTCTTGCTCCTTTGAGCGCAGTGACCGGCGCAATGCGAGATCATGGATAAGGACCTGTCGAGAGCGCGCACCGTAATTTCGCCGCTGCGCTCCAAGATGTCGTCCGAGATGCCACGGTTCCCAAAGCCTGGACCGAGCAAAATAGCTTGGTGAGAGAATGAGGTTTCGTAGTACGGGGTTGGACAGGGCTCGGTGGGGGCCGGCTGACCGGATCTGAGAAGAACATCAGGGGCAATGCAAGGGCATGATGCGGATGGCCGAGGTCTGAGACGGAGAGCGCCAATATGAGGCCTTATCTGGAGGATGGCTAGGAGATGACGAACAGCGGTATGATGTTATGGGGGTGTGCGCAAAAGACTCTGGCTGGGAATGGGATTGTTGGAAGAATGAGATCTGACTAAAAGGCAGTATTTCGGTGGAAGTAGGAGGAACTTATTTGCGCCAAGGCAGTTGCGGCAAGCGAGGGAAGGAATCGCGATGCCACTGAGCCAATATCGCATACCTCGCGAGCTAGGTACCTCCATCATCTTCCACACGTATCTCGTTCCGTCGTTCCAGACCGTCGTTGTATGTTGCTCGAGTAAAGTTGCTAAATGTCCCTCTCCGAGATTCGAAAAGCGATAATTCCGAGCGAGAAGTGGTTAGGTAAAAACAACGCAGCCACGGCGCCGATCAAGGCCATCCTTTGAGGTAAACAAACTCTGTTGCGATACGTTGTCGTCTTCTCTTGAGGACCAAGATCGGGAAATAACGCATCACAGTACGATTGGGCTCACGGCGTAGGTGTCGGTGTCGGACAGATTTGAACTTCCGCTGCCTGTGGCTCAGACTTCAGCCCATCAACCCAACCAGAAGCCGACAAGACCCTAAGATCGGGCTCGCGCAACTCTTTCTCACTTTGTCCACGCAAGGCACGGCAGGAAAATGACCACTTAGACAAGAGCAAAGACCCAGAGAGGCAACGGAAAAGAGTCCCTCGTGGCCTCACGAGCCACACTTCCCACACTCCCGGCATCTTCGCAGATCCGAGCTCGCGTTCCCGCATCATCGCAGGGGGCCGTTTTCCCTTCCGAGGGACTCTAGCGAGGACTCTGCAGCAATTACTAAACGTCATGCAGCGAGGCACTTCTCGAAGCATCGTAAATACGAAGCAGTGTACTTTGTGACTGCGCTTCTTTTTGTACGGGTGCTCGCCCTTTATATATCACGAACCGCCATCCCCTTGAGCACGGCCTGATATGGCCAGTGCCATCACCAATCAGCAACCACCATTTCACAAAGGAGAACATGTGTACATCTTCTGGGCTCAGCATCTCCTCTTTTCTTCTGCTTCGACCTTGTCTAAGACCAAACATGGCGATTCCAGCTGTCTGTTGAGCTAGCCGGACCTGAGACCATCTTTCCCACGTCGCCGATTCTCATTAGCATCTACCAGCTTGAAGCGACTGCCCAAAACACACAAAATGTCCAACCGAAATATGACCTTTTTGCCTCGGTAAATGATGACTCCTGAGTTCCCTTTTGGGTTGTTTGACAACGCCCGATCTTTTTCCCGCGATAGCAATCCAGCCATACCTGACGCGTGGCCGAGAAACATCCATTGAACTCCCTGCATGTGCTTCATGAAATATTCGTCGTCAATGTTGAAACAAGGCAAGTCTCGATTCCAAATCACACAGCCCCCGGCCCAGGTGAGGCCGACGTGCAGCGGACGAGACCGCAAGGGTTGGGTTATATCGAAGTGATGCGCGTATCAGATCTGGCCAGAGGGCGATGTTTGATGACCATCTGCAGTTCCCGCAGCATATTGGTCGTGTTCTCGGCGTGCTCCTGAAAGGTCGCTCGCTTCCTCCGGTCCTCTTGGAGTTTGTTGAGTTTCTCTTCGCGGCTCATTGGCGCCCAAGACATTCTCTTGCGTGGCAAGGCCACCGCTTCAAACACCTCTTCGTCCAATCCTGCCCCATCAGACGAGCTCCGTTCGTCGCCACTCAGCAGCCTCAGCGCTTCGGCCGGCCCTCCATCCACAACTGTCAGCCCACCCAGACTGCTCGGAGATGGCGACGCTGGCGATCGCATGCCACTGGATGCTCGGGAGAAACGATTATCAGATTCGGTCCCTACGTTGAGGAACATGGTGTTTCGCCCCTTTTCCCATTCGACCAGGGCGTTTCGAATCTCGGCCCCAAGGTGTTCGTAATGACCAGTGATGGCCATGCTGAGGGACGAGTCATCCTTCGACTTGAAGGAGTTGATTTCTTCCCTCAGGAGATGGACTTTGGCGTTCAGGGATCGGATAGCATTGGCCACTGCTTCGAATCGGCGTATTTGCGCCTTGGTATGTCTCTTTTGCGGCGTGGTGGCGTCCATGCTCCCTTCAGCCGCTGGGTTTGCCTCTTCCGACACGGCGTCCTGCCCGTCCTCGCCATACTCTTCGTGCACTACAGCAGTGTGGAGCTGTTGGCTTGCTTGGGAAAGTGCACCACCCAGTCCCTCCAACACATGACAGATCAGTCGCCACTGACAAATATTATACCAGGTGGAGCCAGAATGAAGGGCCAACATATCACAAAGGAAAACTTTCCTTGCAATGAGATGGAGTCGAAAAAGGAAACGAAGTTCTTTCAGAGAGTCCCGGGTGTCGAGAGGAGATGCATTCGCAAACGCCACGGCGTCGGTGTAATCCTGCATCGAGACCTCGTATATGTCATGGTACCTTTTCAGGTCGAGGTCCCTCACAAATGGTTGGACGGCATTGTGGGCTTCAACGCTTCGCGTGATGCTGGCTGTCAGGGTAAGCCCGAGAGTGGCCCGAAGATCCCGACAGCGACTCAGTGAGTTTTTGTCTTCCAGTCGACTGACTGGAGGTAATGGATGGCTTCTGGATACATGTCAGCAATGACAGCAAAACACTATGTCGCCTCAAGCAAAGGACCTACATTTCGTAACCACGAGAGACAATCTCGACCTCCTGAATGAAACGAAGGGCCTCGGCTGCAATACTATCATAATTATGTGAATTCGACACCACCTTTCCTAGCGCCGACCCTGCCGACTGCCGCACAAATTCGAGATATTGGCGTCGAGCAAAGTAAAAAAGAATCATCAGAACCCCCAAAAATATCACCGAGTATATGCATATTTGTGACCATGTTGTACAATATGACCGAGACAACCGATACCACCGCTGGAACAGATGAAGAGACCACGCGACCGAGAAGGAAATTGCGGCTGTTATACAAGCACCTCTGACGGAGAGGGTGTGGGGAGTAAAGGGTTGATCATTTTGGAGGAGTTGTCGTCTCGGCTTCGGTTCGTCGGCCAGAAGTTGGGAGGCGACAATCACGTAGCGAAACCGCTCGAGGAACTGTTCGTTTGCGACGTCGGTCACAGACGCAGCGGTTTGACGGATGGTTCGTAGTCGCTCGCGCAGTTTCGGCAGGCCTCGAGGGGCGTAGGTCTGTCGAGCGCAAGAGGGAGGCGAGGAAGGGTCGGTGGCTTCGAAGGGGATGGCGTCTCCTTCTAGATATTCTGCAATAGGCGAGTCATTATAGATTAGAGCTTCCATGACATTGTCGAAGGTTGAGGAGCAAGAAGAGGCAGCGAGAATGGGCGAAAATGTCGTTAGGAGGACATGAGGCAGGAGGCTGCAAAAGCGCGTCGTGATGGGAATGAGGGTTGATGACGGTCGGTGGTGGAAAAGTACCTCATAGCCAACGCAGGCAAACACACGAGGTCGAGCAGAGCAGGGGAGATCAGGAGCACAAGCCACTGGTGACGGCGGAACTGCGGATGACGGGTCCAAGCTTGGGCTGACGGCGATAGTTTCCCGGGGCTGTTGGAACGGTGCTTTTAGGCAGCCAACCAGGCACTCCGGCTTGCCGACAATGAGCAGTTTGGGGGTCCCAAGCCCCGGGAGGAAGAGGGCTCAACGGTCCAAACGCTCACAGCGCCCAAGGCCACCAACCCGGGTGCTGGCCCTGTACCTAGGCTGCTGGCCCCCGGGGTGCAGATCCAGGGCCTGTCCCCGTCGATCTGGCCAACGTGGCTTGAAGCGAGATTGGCCCAATTCCAACGTCGATAATAATATGATTCGGTAAATTCTGGTGTTCTTTCTCGAATGTCTGCGGAATTCTCGCTTGACCTGGTGGGTGATTGCCAGCGGTCCCGGTCAAGATTGACAATGGAATACAAAGACGAACAGCGACGACCGAATACAGGATACAGACAGCGATGCAGGAGGATGTGCCAGAGTTCAATGAACGCGCTCCTGTTGGCGAGAAAGAAATTTCGTCGCTCACAATGAAACATCATCATCACAGTCTGACTTTGAATTCACCGTTCATGAACGCGTGGAGGTCTCCGATATTGCAACACCTCACCTTCACTGACAATCAATCTTTTATCCAGACCGAACCCGTCGCAGCCCAGCCTTAACTGACAACTGCCAGCAGCCAGCTCTTGAGCTCCAACCGTGATCCCTACACTTTCTATCTTGCTTTGCTTCGTAACCTTGAGCATCGTCTTATTCACTAATGACCTCACCAGACCAAGCATGGCGTCACCAGGATCCCCGTGCGAGCTTCATCCAGAACCCGACCCAGACGTGCACGGATCGCAGTTTCACCTGTCCTCCTTCGCAGATCTGAGGGGCGTTCCGGGCACTGAACTGCGCAAACTCACCGACATTGCGATTATCGCCGCCGAATCGAACGGAGAGCTCTATGCCCCTATCTTCCGCCAGCTGCAGATCCGAGCAGACAAGTACCAGGATTTCCACAGTGGTGTCATCCGTATCCTTCGAAATAAGCACCACAAGATCATCCAACGGGGCACTGATGCCAGTGTGAGGGACATGACCGACTTCCTCCTCCAGGGCTTCGGGTACATCATTTGGAAAGCCGATTCGGACTGGGTCCTGGACGAGACGGATCTCGATGAGGGGGAAGCTAAGTTGATCTACGTGAAAGGCAGGAATAACGTTCCAGACAGCAGGTAAGATGCATAAGCCGTACAAAGTTGGACACTGACAGTGGAGACTGTTGCTGACGAGCAACCAAAAGGTTCTATCCGATCCTCGAGCCTCTCTGGCGCCAAATGCGCAATGTGATGTTTACCCGCCGCGGACACGGCACAGCACGCCGTCCCAGATTTCCCAGTGTCGCACCAACTGACGGCGAGGAGTCGTACCTGGGCGACGTAGACTCGCGTCCATCTTCACCAGTGGCCGCTGCTCATGCACGCGCTCGTGCTCGTGCTACCACGAAACTGGACAATTTGGCGGCCCAAATCGCACGGATAGTTCCTCGTTCCAAGCCGAACATGAGTTCCGAGGGTACAGAGGATGCAATCATTGACCTTATTGCTCGCCTCGCCGAGATTCGCGCCAACAGTGATCCACGCACGTTTGAGGAACTGTGGCAAACGCATGTTATTCGAGTCGAGGAGCTGGATAATGGGCAAGCAACGCACGACGACGAGCCAGAGGAGAGCAACACTGTCGGCCTCGCAGCAGCGACGGAGAAACATCTTGGTGAGCACCGCGCGTCGCAATCGAACGTGCCGTTCATGACAGAGGGTGGCCCAGTCTTACCGCGATCCCTGGTCTCCCGGGGGCTTATCCCGCCATCTCTCCCGTCGATCATGTCGGTGTACATCAGCGTCTCTCGCCTCCCCACACGAGGACAAGGCCATCTCAATTCCATCTCGCACACGGCAGCCGCACCCCTCGCACAAGCGTACCACTGGCCATCGGCACCAGTCGAGGAGCACAACATGGCAGCGTTTTTCACCGGCATATGCTACCGCGTCGACGTTTCCCCATCAGCCGTTCTGGGTTAGGTGCTCAGTTACGGATGGAACGATATTTGTCGATTCGTGTCAACCGGACGCTTCGAGAAGCAGGGTCTACAACATCCCGCCCGCCTTGCTGCGCGTCCCCCTCCAGCAGAGGGGGAGGGTGGAGGTGATGACCTCGCCAACTCGTCGAACCAGTGCCAAACCGGTGGTGCTGACGATGGCGACAGCTCGGACTGCGAAATGACGGATGCGATGAGCGATCTCCCGGGTTCGGCCAAGCCAACTCTAGCAGAATCCTCTTCTCCACCGAGTCCAACATTGGAGAGGGGTCTCGACGACTTTACAGAAGAGGACTGGCGAGTCACTGCTCTAGGCTGGCGCGACTTTCAGCACGATCTACGCCACGCCGCTCGGACGGGCACGCGGGTTTGGAGAATGAAAGTATGCGTCGTCACCGCGGCCGCGACCTCTTGAATTCCCGAGGACGGACTCTCCAGAGAATCTACATCGCCACCCCGCGTGCTCTGAAGGGATTGGAGGCAACATACGGCGCCATGTCCACAGAGGCTTGAGGTTTTGAGGTCTTTGTTTTTCTCGACTCTGCCCACTCGGAACGGGAAACAAGCAAAAAAGCAGACAAATATTGGAATCAAACTGTCATTCGATCAATAGTCATTTTCATCCTGCCTGTGTCCATATGTTTACACAGGACCCATCGAACTCTCCAGAATTGGGAAAATTCAACAAAGATCCCCGTTTCACGTCCTCAGTCTCTCTCCATATCTCTTTTCCTCTCTCCCGTTCTCCAAACCGGGTTCCGTCCAAGATTGTACACATATTGATTACCTCTGGTCTAGAAAACAGCCAGCGTCTACTTCCAGTTCCAGTTCCAGTTCCAGTTCCACACCAAACGCCCCCACCTGTCCTCGCTCTCACCCTAACCCTCACCTTCACCTACCTCGACCCAGGCTACGTCCTCCCCTCCATCTGCTACACTTTAATCATCATCCTCCTCCTCACATTCGGCCCCACCCCTCGCCGCCTTGATCATCTACATACCTCTTCCCGCATGACTTTGTCCAAGAACACCAGGGTGGTCTGGGAATGCTCGCCTCGCCCCTTTTGCTGCGCCCGAAACTCCACACGGCGCGGAGGGTCACCAAGTTACCCGACGAACAACACGCGTTCGATGCTTTCATGGAAGAGCTTAATGCGTTGACCTTTACTTATACGCTCGTATTGTTCTACACTCTTTTCCACTTGATGGAAGCTTGCACAAGGCCTTGTAGGGCTAGAAGGTGCGGTGAGACCTCCTCGGCCGGCGGGTCGAGAAGTATTTCTCATTTCTCCTTAGGATAGAACCCGTCTCCATTGATACAGCAGAAACGTCTACCTGATCCTATCCTACCCAGTAATCCTAATAACCTAACCCTCATCCCACGATTAAACTCTGTCGGAAAGAGCGCCCACTTCGTTTGTCGTCCAGGACTCTTCTCGTTCGTTATGTACAGCGTGATCCTCGGCGAAGTGTTTGTTTCATTTTAATTTCTGGTTTCGTTCTTGGCTAGAATCGAAAGATTGAAGCCCATAGTCGCATGCTTTGGTGGACAAGGCGAATGAAAGAAGGGTTTGTTGGTAACTGGTGTCCCAAAAGCATATACTTCGCGAAGGTCGACCCTAGGGCCAAAAAAAACAAATTCCCCAAGCAATGGCGCCCGTGCTCAAGCTTCGAGCGTGACGCTGGAACGTGGGTAAAGGTAGAGAAAAACACGCATCAAGGCCACCATTCCATCTTCTCATAACTTGATATCATCTCTCTCACGCCTTCCACGGTCAGCTGAGGCCGCTCGTAGGTAAAACCCACGACGCGTTCGAAGAGACCCCCATCAAGACTCAGATCTGTGTCTTTGAGCAACTCCTTTTCCAAGAATGGACTGAGGGGACCAGGTTTCGTGATGCCCTTTTTCTCGAGCATATCAGCCCACGGTTGAAGAATGTCCTCGTTGAGATCATCGACGACGTGCTCGAGATTCATCTTTGCAAAGGAGGATATGATTGTTCCCTGGAAGCCGGTTCTTATGTCGAAAACTTTGGAAACAATGTCGGCAAATTTCCCCTGGCTCGTCTCCCCATGGTCCACAATGTTGAAAATGGGCACATTACCACTTGGGGCGTCCTCTCCCTTAGTCAATGTCGGCCTTCGAGTGATTGTAGGAGAAGATGATGAAGGGATGATCGAATTCTGCGACCTCCACACAGCGGCGGCCCACAACGCCCGCGCAACGTCTTCCACGTGAACTGTGTTGATCCTCAAATCCTCAGTCCAGAGCCATTTCAGCTCCTTCTGTTGTTCCTGATAGACACGAGCCAGGCACAATCCTTTGGCAATGAATTTCGAGTCATAGGGGCCATAGACATGTGCCAGACGCAGGATGACCAGATTCAGGCCCGGTATTCTCGACAGCTCCTGTTCGGCTTCCAGCTTCACCTTGGCCAACTTAAGCCAGGGCTTCAATTTATCTTGCTCGTTTCGCGGAGCACGGTTCGGAGCATAAACCATGCCTGTGCTGACTTCAACAAAAGACTTGACGCGTCGCCTAGCTGCCTCGTTCGCCAGCGTCACACTCAGCTGCCATGAGCGCAGTTTGTAGATCTCCGAAGTCTGTGACCAAGCCGTCTCGCCGGCGCAGTTGAAGACAAAATCCCAGGTTTTGTCGGGCCCATCGGGATGCTCGAAGATACGGGCCATCGAGGTCTCCCGAGAGGCGTCTGCCTGGATGAACTTGTCGGCGGAGCATGCTTCGCTGAACTCTGGAGCAAGATGGGCGAGCTGGGGGAGGACTTTGTCAACGAGGCGAACGGAGGAGGCTAGGTTCTGCGAGTGAATATATTTTGACAAGAAGCGACCAATGTACCCTGTCAGAAGCTTGTTAGCGCATGCGCATTGGGACGCATCTCAAGGGCGAGCATATACCGAGACCCCCCACTATCAACACTGAGGGTTTGGAGGTGCTACTGAATGTCCCGTTTTGGTCGGACATGGCCGCAATAGAATAATCGAGCAAGAGGGGGAGGACGCAAAAAGATGAGAATACTAAACGCCTGGGAGAGCCGGGAGACAACGCCAAAGACAGAGAGAAATGCCTTTTTAAATGGGCAGCTCTGCAGCTCTGTAGCTCCTGCTCAGATGGAGGGTGAAACTGGGCAGGTGCCAGAGGAAGAAGGGTCCCTGTTGACCTTGGACCAAATTAGGTAGCAACAATAGCTTGTGAGGCCTCTGTTTTGACGTTGACACCGGAAACAGCGGGCACGAGAGTCCACCGATGAGACCTGTAGGCTGTGAACGAGGGGAAGAGAAAAGTGGCTCCAAGCCTCCAACAAGGCCACACGAGGAGGATTTGAAGCCACTGAGGGACAAGAGTTCGAGACCTTGGACGGGGTGTTTGCAGGCTCGGGCCGTCAATGGCAGATGGCAGATGGCAGATGGCCGGTGGCCTGTGGCCTGTAGCCTGTAGCCTGTGGCAGCAGGCTGAGGGCGGGGGATGGATGGGTTCGGGTCTCGGCAGGACGAGAAAAAGCTGGAGATGGCGTGGAATGGCGTAATTAGGAGGAGCAATAGTCGCGGATTTAAATAGAGCGACGGGTCAGATGATGCTTGATGCTTGATGCTTGTGGTGGATGGGGAGAGACTTGGAGGAAGAGAAGAGAAACAGGGGGAGGGCGGGCACGAGGCAGATTGCAGACTCGGGTGTTTGGAAGACGATGAAACTCGAAGGAATTGTTCCCAAGAGGGATTTGATCGTTTTGTCTGTTGAATTGTGCATCCAGCAGCACCACAGCATGCACATGCACATGCACATGCACATGCACATGCACCGTTAGCCTTGCATTTGCCTTGCATTTGCGATCTGCTGCCCGCTGCCCGCTGCCCGCTACCTACGCTTTTGCCTTTTGAGTTCAGGGGTTCATGCAGGTCCGCCGTTGTGATCGTTTAGGGGTTGACCAACGGAGGCGGGCCATATCGACTTTGGCGAGTCTCTGGCCTGCCGGTGGTGTACCGCCTACCTCTCAAGGCATCGAGGTGCATAGCCGATGCACTCGGGGAGCCAGCGGGTGCCAGGCACCCACAGGGGCATCTCGACGAGGGGCAGCAGAAGAGCAACACTTCTACTCCTGCCCATCGTAAACAGCATGGCTCGCCCGCGTAGTGGCTGGCGCCAGACGGCCAGTGCCCCGAACGAGTATCGCCAGCCCACCTCTTGGAGTATTAGCTGCAGCAATCTAAGACCGTCCAAGGGTTGATGGGCTCCCTATCGGTGCGAGACGAGTTGATGTTGACCGTGATGGTCATCAGTCACCGCTCCGTTGCGATAAGAACGGGCAATGCTTTCAAAGTAATTAGCGAGCCTTCATGATTCCCAGATCGACACCATCACAACCTTCACCCCGGTCTATTCCTCGAAAGCGCCCTCTTCCAATTACCATGCTGGTGCCAGCTCGCCGAGTAAGATAGTACATGCAAACAGAAAAGGAACACTAGTACAATAAGAGTACATGCTGTGGTTGCACCAAAAAATTCCCGCTCAATGCCTGACTAACCGACTCGTTTCGCGTCTCCCCTAATGCAAGAACATTGACTGCCTTCCACTAGCCCTTCAGTCAACCAACCTGTGGAAATCCTCTCTTCTCCTCTCGGTTCGCCCGAGCCTTCGGCATTCGTCGCAAACACGGTTGAAAGTTGGGCAGATTGAACAAGTGCAAAAGAGGTCAAGGTCATTATGCACGGGTTTCTCTCCCACCCCGAAGAGCACTGATCGGTCTCCTGCTCTGACAGCCTCTCACCCAATCGTGACGCTGGGAAATCTCAATGCCCTGAACTCCATTGATTTAGTGCTTCTCAAATGGGATCCACCCCACACAGGTATCATGGTTGCTGTTGCCCCGATTGTCGCCCATATGTCCCTTCCACCGGGGCCAATCTGAATACTTTCATTCCGCCCCAGACTATCTTCTCCAGCTGAGGTGTTCTATTTGGCCGGTGCTGGCCTTGGTTGGGCCTTGACATTGGTCGAGAGCCAGCTCTGTGAGGGAGGAGTCAACGCGTGTACGATCATTTCAGGACCCTGTTCGAACTCACCAATCCTTCAAGAAGTCCTTCTCCTGTGGTCGCACAGCTAGGTACCACGTACCAAGTCCGGTCCTTCAGTTGGCCCAGTCGCAGCTTCTCAGTCACCTCAGTAGGGGTCATGGAGCCTGGGATGTCTTGCTTGTTGGCAAACACCAATAAGAGCGCCTCTTTCATTTCTCGGTCCAGAATGATCCTGTGGAGTTCCTGTCTGGCCTCGTCGATGCGTGCTCGGTCGTTGGAATCGATCACAAATATCAACCCTTGAGTGCCGGAGAAGTAGTGTCGCCAAAGCGGCCGGATCTTGTCTTGTCCACCCACATCCCAGACGTTGAACTTGACGTTCTTGTAGGTGACGGTCTCGACGTTGAAGCCAACTGTGGGGATCGTTGTGACATCTTGGTTCAACTTCAACTTGTAAAGGATCGCTGTATGCACGTCAGTACTCATGCGGCTTTGCGACACCAGACGGAGCAGTCGACTGCGCAGCCACTCTGTTTGGACTCACTTGTCTTGCCAGCCGCATCAAGACCCAGCATCAACAGTCGCATCTCTCTTGACCCGAAGATCTTGCCCATCATCTTGGATATTTGGTTGCCCATGTTGTTTCTTTGCTGCAGAGCGCAGCTGATCGCTCAGGAGGTGCGACGCCGTAGGAAACCAGTGGGTTGTGCGCAGTTAGAGGCAGCCCTCGAGATCAGGTTGCTTGTTTCTTGCGGGTCACCAACTCGACCCAGCAAGTGAGTTCGGGTACGCAGGATTCGCGACGAGGACAATGGGCGGAGTCTGAGAATTTCTTTAGAGCAGCAATTTCTCAGAGCCTCAGAAACAGGCTCCCGCTGTCAGAGAATTTCAGGGGACAGTCCCGTCAATTGACTGGCTCGCTGGCTGAAAGTGTACCCCGGCTACTACTGCAGGCGCGGTTCACAGTCTCCAAGCTCGGAAAGGGGCGCGTGCTGAAAGTCAAAGTGGAATCCGAGTCGTGGAATCAGGAGAAACTGGCACTAAATTTCCACTAGACCTAATACGGATTAGGTAAGAAAGCCCAAGCACGAGGGCCGAGGGACAACGTCAAAGCACGTGTTTCAGCGCCTTCGTTCCCTCTGGCGCCACGAGGACTCCATCGACGAAAGCCCATCCTTCATATCTCATCAGCTTCCATTTCTCTGCCACCTTTTTAGTGACCAAGTCTCCCGTAGCCACCGCGTCCTCCTTCGAGTCGTGCCCTGCCTCGCCAGCTGTCTGGATGCCTCGCGACAGGTACTTTTGGCTAAGCATCTTCAGCCCGTACCTTATCGGCAATCCTCGTGGGTGAGGATACAACAGCACTGTATCGACCACGCAGGGATGTATGATCCTCACCACATTCAGATCGTTCTCGATAGCATGACCTATCAGAGGAGTTTCTCGGCTGATGTGGTCGAACAGTAATTGCCGAGCTGCAGCCGGCGAGTCCACTTTACGGAGCTGGCTATTGTCGACATTCGTCTCCTGGACCCGGTCAGAGACTTCGGCTTCGTACGGCAGCGCGGATGCATAGGCTTCTTTTGTCACTCCGGAGAATCTGGTATTCAGATCGAGGATTTCCCCAAAAGGTCGCACCAAGACGTCAAGCAGTAATCTTCCGTCAGGCCATGACACAGCTGTTACTCGAATAACTTCCATTCCATGTGTAGTGTAACCCATTTCGCAATCGAAGGACACAGGTGGTCTCCGTCGTCCGTCAGTCTGTTCAGGAGTTTGTTCAAATTGGAGGATTGTTGCGAGGCGCTTGGGGTCTTTGACGACGAATACATGCGAGTCGGCTTCTGAACAGCCTTCACTACCTGGTGGCTTATTGCAGCAAGGGTAGGTTGCTTCTGATTGACCTTGAATTCTATCTCTCTTCAGAGAAACCGCACGATTTAGTCGAGCCCAATGATAACGACACCGTCCCTGGCTTGTCAAGCGACCTGACTCATCTCGCCCGGGAAATACTTGAAATCTCGTGCCACATCGATCGCAGCTTTCGAAGCCCCTAGCTGCTGCCAATCCCGCTTTCGCAGAGGCAAGTTCTGAGCTGGATGGTTGCGTGGTCACGTAGCCATATTGCTCGAGGCCTTTCAGAGGGGTAGTGAGATGCTTGAGAACAGCAACCTGTTCATTGAGAGATGACAACCCGATTGACGGAAGATCATCGCTCTTGTCGACTGGCTTCGCATGGGCGTTGGCCGGGGACGATGCTCCGGTCCATTGCGAGACTCTTTTGACCCACTCTTCCAGAGCCATCTTTCTGGTTCTTAGAATATTTTGGGCCATGGTGTTCTTGTAGATCTCGCCTCCCAATTTCGTAGCAGCTTCCTCTTCGTCGAGGGCGAACTTGATCAATTCCTGTTCATCTAGCACGAGCGACTTGGACTCGACGTCCGAATTGGCGAGCTTGCTGTTCTGGGTCCGCATCTCCTCGTGCAACTTCTGCAGCACCGTCAACCTCGTTTTCAGGAGAGCTGGGGCGTTGGCAACGTTGCGGGGCGTCAGTGATTCGACTTTCATGGGTCGCTTTTTGACCAAGACCGAAGGCTCCCTGGGGACCTTTATTGGTGGAGGTGACACAGTTCTTGTAATTGAAGCTGGCTTTGCTTTGGCATGCTCTTGCTCCGCATTGCGTGGAATCTGCCCCGAAGTTGGATTTTCGTGCGAGGTACGACTCACTGTCCGGGAGGATGTGGGCACTTGCTGTCCCGTTGATGATCGGGTCGAGGACTCTAAGCTTCCTGTCTCCGATCGCACCACATCAGGGTGGCCTGGTGGCTCGGGAGCAGATTCTAGCCTCCTTCTCTTCGAAGGTGGAGAAGATATGTCTCCAGCGCTGAAAGGGTCATATTCTTTTGCAGAGTCGAGCACAGGGTCTTCTGCCTCAGGACAGGATACTCTCCAGCTGTGTAAGAAGATACAGGTTTGTAGGCTGCAGTCATCCTGCCGTGGACATGGAACGCTGCGAAAAAGACCAAGAGACGAGAACATATTGGAAGAATACTTAGGTAGGGTGAGGGTTCGGAACTGATAAAGGATAAGTGGATAATGATGGTGATGGTGATGGGTGATGTCGTTGAGGTTACTAAATCCTGGTTGGCGCTGCGGTCAGACCAGTCAGTTGGGGGCACCCGGGGGGGCGGCGGCGGAGCCTGGGCAGTGACCAACAGCAAACACCATCATTATTGGAGGGCCTTTGGATGCCCCAGGCAAGGTTAATCGGGAAACCTGCAGTGTCGTGTGTTCGCTACCCGCGACCCCAATCCTTGTTATTCCTTTTGGCTGGCTGTAGCACGAGTCGTAAGGCTTCTTCCGGCCCCTAGGATGGGGGTTTATGCACGCTCGGTCAACCAGCAGATCGAATCTGGTGAAACCTTGTTTCCTATCGGGTAATCCCAAGCCTTGCAGTAGGTGCAGTGGGTGATAAGCCTACTCCAGGCCCAGTAGGAAAGCCCGCCCACGCCAGCGAGGAGACTCACGCGAGGGAGAGCCGCCTTATCGGCCATAGAAGAATGGCTGAGATAACGCCAGCAAAAAGCTACTCGTAGATGAGGGTTTCGAGGGGTCGGATGACACGTGGGGAGAAGGCGCTCAACAGTTATAAGACGAGCAAGGTGCAGCCCTTCGCTCCAAGCAAGAGATTGAACATCGTCCACCTTAATGCTGCAGAACGCATCTCTACTCTTTTCAAGGGAATCCCCAACGACACTCGATTTGTTTTGTCCCGTCGCCTCCCTCGCCTATAACAATCAACGTGATCAAAAGTCCTGAGAATCTGGGCTGTCAGACTCGCTGGGGTTGTCCCGGCGCGATCTATTGCGTGTCGTGGGCCTCGTTGCAGGCTGCTGAGGGACTCTGGTGCCCATCGTTTACTACTTGGGCCGTCACTGGTATCGAGGGTCCTGACACAGTGACAAGCCGGTGAGGTCAAAGCTGCGGCAGTGCCACCGCTGCAAATTAAAACCCCGTCAGGATCAAATTCCCGACATTCTGGGAGGAAACTTTGGGAGGGGCATAGGGATCGGATAAGCAAGGCGGTGCCCAAATTCCACAAGTACCGGGGTGTCCAAAGGAGTCGACCTCTAGTTGACTGACTTACTTTAGTGCAGCCTGCAAGCCACCGTGCAAGCCACTCGGCACCGAACCAGGCACCAGCGACTGCGAGCCAGCGCCTTGGCTGCCGGTTGGCTCATCCCTGACGCGTACATAAGCCATGTTGATGCCATCATTGCCCTTCGACCTCAGGAGCATCGACAGCCAGATCCTCTTCTCCAACTGGGAGAAAATGGCTCCCACCCTGAGGAAAACTTCAGGTCAGTCTACTCCTAACAGGGCGCAGCACCTGGTAGTCCTCGTCCATGGCCTCTGGGGCAATCCCAGCCATCTCAACTACATCGCAGAAGCCCTGCGTGACCGGTACAGTGGGGAGGAAATCATCGTCCTGGCCTGCCGCAGAAACCTAGGCAGTCTCACTTATGACGGTGTGAATGTGGGCGGAGAGAGGGTAGCGAAAGAAGTGGAAGATCATGTGGAAGAACTCGAGCGAAGCGGACACAACATAAATCGCATGTCGGTGGTGGGCTATTCACTCGGCGGGCTCGTTGCGCGGTACGCCATTGGACTGCTTTACCACAAGGGCTACTTTGAGAAGATGACCCCAGTCAACTTCACGACATTTGTTACCCCCCATCTGGGTGTCCGCACGCCCTTGACAGGATATCAGAATCATCTCTGGAACGTGCTGGGCGCTAGACTCTTGTCCACGTCCGGCCGACAACTATTCATGATCGATAATTTTCGAGATAGCGGCAGGCCATTGCTGAGCGTCCTCGCAGACCCTGACAGCATCTTCATCCATGCCCTTGCTCGATTTCAGCATCGCACGCTGTACACCAACATCGTCAATGACCGGTCCGCAGTATACTACACGACCGGAATCTCCAAGCATGATCCATTTGTTGATTTGACAAAGGTCAACCTACATTATGTCAACGGCTACGAGCCCGTGATACTGGACCCAGACCATCCATGTGATCTGATACCTCAGGAAGAGGTGCCGTCTTTGTACCAAAGATTCCAGATGCATCGCCACCAGTATCTGCAACGCGCCCCGATATTGCTTGCGCTGGTGGCTCTTCTCCCCATCATCTTTGTGGCGTTTGTGGTGAATTCTGGCATCCAGACACTGCGCAGCCGGCGGAGAATCATGCTTCATGAGGCCGATCATCATGGCGAAGGGTTCGGACTGTACAGAATCCCCTGGATGGTCCAGGATATGCGTGTTGGCCTTGAGAATGCTTTCGAGAATGTGAATGCTTCTCAGGAACAGGAGTATCTACCGGAAGGCTCGGAGGAGATAGCAGATGCAATAGTAGAGGATCCCGTTTCGTCTACAATGGCCTTTGCAAAGACCTCGTCTGAACCACTATTGCCTGAGAAGTCAGACAGCGATGAGCCTTTACTCTCTGAGAGGCCGTCCAGTTTCCCGACCTTAGCACTGACCACAGCCCAGTTCGCCATGGTCAAGGCGCTGGATGATGTGGGATTCCGCAAGTTTCCCGTATACATCCACAAAAGCACCCACAGTCATGCAGCGATCATTGTGCGTATTCCGAAACCAGCATTTGAGGAGGGCAAACTGGTGGTCAAACACTGGTTGGACAATGAGTTCCACATCTGAGTATTGTTCGGTGTCACCATTGTTATCCCAATTCGGGTCCTCACATCGACCAGGGGGAATCCAGATGCACGTGTTTTTGGTGGATGTCTCGGGAGCAGTCGACATCATGTTCAGCGTTGATCTTGTCACTCGGCATGCATTCTTGCGTTCTTGGGTTATCTAGAGGAGGAGCTGAGTGGGTAGAGCGAGACCATTATCTTTTTGTTGGTAGGCCTCGGATATTCCGACTGTGTTGCAGGACCACAAATTATGAGTACCTGATTCGCCTTCTTGTACTATGAGACGGTATCCGTCTTTCCGTCGTCATCATACGGACGTACAGTTGAGAGCCAGCAGGATGCCACCGAATCCCACACGCAGCACACGCAGGGTCAGCGCCTCGATGGAGATAACGTGGCTCTTATCTTGGGTTCGCTCTCTCCACGGCACCTGCAAGCGTGGACGTATCAACACGGCACATGTGAATGCAACATGTACCTCCGTACCTCAAGGCTCCAACGGTTATGAGGCTGCCGAGTCAGCGCCACAAAGACGAATGAGAAGGCCAACTCATAAGGTTTCCGGCCGGGTACTCCTGACTAGGGAAACCGTGCGATAGTTATTTGGGTGAAGTATGGAGATCGATGACAACAGTGGCGTCACCAAGCGTTGGATGATCGTCAGCTCCCAAAAAACCAAAGGCCGAACAACATTCTGAAGCAGAAGGCTGAAAACTGGAGAACGGCCACCGGCCGATTCGTTAGTTGGGCTCCTTTGGCGACAAAGACATGTGGACCACAGCAAAAATTTCTGTAACTCGACGTCTCGGCGATCTCCAACCACGACAAGCTGTGGTGTAACAATGGCCGCGATGGAAGCCCAGTATGCGGCTTTTCAAACGCCCTGGAGGCTCCAGCGCAACAAGGATCTTTCTGAAGTTTTAATACGCCGTCGCTACAAGGATCACTCTCTATTCGCCCACCGGATCTACACCCTACCACAGCGACGTCATTGACATTTCCACTTCCATCCCCATCGGCCCCATGCTGTGGCCATGGACCTGCTCAGCAGTAGTCCATTCCTTCACCGAGACACGGTCTTGCTCAGTTTTCGTGGTTATCCACTATTTTGGTTGCAAGTGGAAGATATCTTCCACTTTTGCTCCACGTGTGTTTCCGATTTGCCTCGAGGCCATACTCACTGAACGTGGCCGTGCCGCGTTGAAGGCTGATATATAAGCCCGGCCTTCCCAAAGCCCCGGGACAAGAAGTGCCTCCGTGACCAAACCCATACTCTTCAAACCGGAACCAAGTGACCTGAACTTGTTTTCCATTCCATCTTGATTGTTCACGACGGCAACCTTTGAGTGAGCCTGCTACTTCGAGATAAGAAAGATATCAAGCAGGTTGCCCATCATGTCGACCGAGGAGCCTTCTTCAGATGTGGACCACAACAAGTTATATCCCACCTCCGCCAAGGCATCGCAGCGAACCATGCGCAGATTGTCTAGTAAAAGTGCTCAACGGGCGGATCTCTTCGGAGGGCCTACTGTTGTCGCTCCGCCACAACATATGGATAGCCACAGCCATGCCAACGAGACTGCCCGGGCCATGGAAATGGCGAAGCATCACTTGGCCGAACAATCCCCAACAATCACACCACCTGAGTCGGGACCCACTACTCCTGATGACAGCGGTCTGAGCACGACTGACAAGTATGCCTTCGCTTTCGATATAGACGGAGTCCTCATCAAGGGTGGTAAGGTAATCCCCGAGGCCGTGGAAGCCATGAAAGTCCTCAATGGCCAAAATGAGTATGGTATTAAAGTGTACGTATTTCGCCCGTCTCATCTTGCCGAGTAATGAGTATACTAACCCCGTCTAACAGGCCCTACATCTTCGTCACAAACGGTGGCGGAAAGACCGAGGAGGAACGATGCATCCAACTCAGCAACCAACTTCAAATGGAGGTGTCCCCCGGCCAGTTCATCTGTGGGCACACGCCCATGAGGGAAATGGCCGAGAAGTACCACACAGTCCTTGTCGTTGGTGGTGAAGGTGAAAAGTGCCGCGACGTGGCCAAGGGCTACGGCTTCAAAGATGTCATCACCCCTGGCGACATTATCAAAGACAATGCCGACACCACGCCCTTCAGAAAGTTGACGGATGAAGAGCACCGAAACTCCAACATCCGAAACTACGGCGAAATCGAGATTGAGGCAGTCTTCGTGTTTGCCGATAGCAGAGACTGGGCTGGGGACTCACAAATCATCCTCGACCTTTGCATGAGCAAGAATGGTCGGCTGGGCACCCGGTCGGAAACCTTCGATGAAGGTCCGCCGGTGTTTTTCTCCCACAACGACGTGGTCTGGGCAACCTCTCACGCCTATTCTCGCATCGGCATGGGAGCGTTACGCGCGTCTCTCGAAGCCATGTTCAAAGCCATCACGGGAAAGGAGTTGAAGACCATCGCATTCGGCAAGCCGCAGGTGGGCACGTTCCAATTCGCAACCAGGCTTCTTCGACAATGGCGAAAGGATACTCATAACATTGATTCGCCGCCTGACACCGTCTACTTCGTCGGCGACACTCCAGAGAGTGATATTCGAGGCACCAACGAATTTGACGAATCAGGCGATTCCGAGGCGACGTGGTACTCCATTTTGGTCCGCACCGGTGTCTTCAGAGAAGGCACTCGACCCAGGTATATGCCCAAGATGACAGTGGACAACGTCCTGGAAGCAGTCAAGCACGGGATGAGCAGGGAATTCGACAAGGCACTCAAAGATCTGACGATAGGCGGTGCGGCGCCTCAGCTGGCCAACGCCATCGTTGAGGACGATGATGAACGGTAGCAGACGCCACTGCCACACCAACCACTACGATCGCCCAGTGTCGCCACGAGGCACTTGTTATGAATTCGAACTCGACATTTTTTACTTTTTAATATACCCATCAAGATGTTTGTCCAGGGACGAGTTTGGTTAGCCAAGGCGACGGTGGTTGATTTCCGTCCACGGAGTACTATTCGTATCTAGATTCCGGCCCTTTTTGAGGCCTCCAAGAATAAATGACAGTTTAAAATTTTCACAATCGAGTGTGTGTATTTCAGACTTGATCTCCGTGATGTGAGTGATTCACTACTACGGAGTACTACTGGGGTCCATCGGCTTAGATTGGGGGCCGTGTGAGTTTCCGAGACTGAGCCGCAGCAAAGTCAAGAGTAATTAGTATGTAGATGGGCGAGATGGGACGACCGGCGGGGACAAGAAGATCCGTTGTTCGTCTTCGCTTGTAGCCGCGGTTAAATATAGGCGGCGTCGAAAGTCAACCAAGTAGGAGGCTTTGATGTTCCTTGCAGATCGCTGCCGTGAGTCCGTGACACATAGCTCCGGGGAGCTCTATCAGATGACGATAATCTACGCAGACTCTGGTGTGCGCGACAGCATTGCTAGGCCCCAAGCTAATGTGCGGCGTCCATCCCAAGGTAGCAAGTGAAGCAGCATCACAATGAGCACTAAGCTCACAAATGACATAGTAAGCGAATATGTCTGAGAAGCACGCACAGGAAATAAGCAATCGATGTCTTAGGGTGTGGAAACTGAGGGTGGGTGATTTAATAGCAGAGGATATTGGGGGCTCCAAATGGGGAATGCGGCTGCCTATGGCTGGCAGGGTCAAGGCGAGAGAGCCACCAAAGGCAGAGAATGCCTTTGGGTACCATGGCATCTACAGGCCACCACCACCGCTAGGCCTACGAGTCGCAGCTGGGTGCCAACAGCCTAACGCTGCTAGACAAATAATAGGTGGCGTCGACCACCCTCCCGCTAAAGCACCCAGCTAGACCATCCGCAACAAAACCCACCTGAACCTGCTGTTGCCCAAACTCTCCTCCGCTGCGACCTGTGTGGTCTTCCAACCGCAGTCACCAGCCTGTCTACCAACACATCCCAAAACACTTTCTCCATCTTACAACAAGAATTGCACCCCCCTTCGGCCATCTCATCACCCCTGGCAGCCCGTCAGGTCCGTAGGGTCGCGTTTCATTTTCATTACTGGCACTTGCACCTTTTCCCAGCATCTCTTCCCTCGCCATCATTTGGAACCCAGCAGTCAGCCCGACTTGCCCTTCTCGCTCGCCCAGAAACTCTCTCGATCGGCGTCGGGCGCCCTTGCTGCGCGCTTGGCCAGCCATTCGCTTCAGCTGATCATCTTCACAAACCCAACTTCGAAAACAATCACAAAAGGCATTTCCTCCTCAAACATTCTCAGCCTTCACTTTGGCCCTGCTTTACCACCGTCACCCCTCTATTGTGTGCTGCGGGCTGGTCAAACGACGCGTGAAGACAAGACCGACGGCGTCCATTAAAGGAGCGTGGCGCACTGTGCGATATTGTGTCATATCAACTAAAATCACTCATCAACAACTAAAAGGCACATCAGGCATCATAGGCAAACAGTCTCCCTCCTTCCAACCCGTGGCGAAGAGCGCATCTGCGCCTCTAGCCGCATTATGGCAACCGGAGGCGCAGGCACTCCGAGCCCTCCACGACCCTTTGGCCAAAAGACACAGACACCAACACCGCGTGGTGGTGCTCCCGTGCCAACACCGTTGACCACCGCTTCTCCTCCGTCAAAGCGAGAACTTGCTTCATGGTGGAAAAAGTTCAGGAAGACCACAGAAAAGGTGGATGACAAGGGTAAGAGTCCCAAAACAAATATGCCATCTCTCGCAGACGCTGCTTGTCCAGGCAGCCGACCTTCTTCCAGGTGGTTTGTCTATCGTCACCGGCCTGTCAGCTAACTCCTTCTTTCAGTTGAAGCTTCTACTGGCATATTCGGCGTTCCCTTGGCCGACAGCATCAGATATGCAAACGTCGCCATCTCCTTGCAAAACGAATATGGCGAGAGTTTCATCTACGGCTACGTTCCGATCGTGGTTGCGAAATGTGGAGTTTTCCTCAAAGAGAAAGGTACGGACTTGCTTCTGGAACAACACTGCACAAGCAACTGACAGGTCACAGCCACCGATGTCGAGGGCATCTTCCGACTGAGCGGGTCCGCAAAACGAATCAAAGATTTGCAGACCATTTTCAACTCGCCTGACAGGTACGGAAAGGGGCTAGATTGGACTGGCTATACTGTCCACGACGCGGCCAACATCCTCCGCCGCTACCTCAATCAGCTCCCGGAGCCCATTGTTCCTCTCGATTTCTACGAAAGGTTTCGCGAGCCACTTCGCCAAATCCAGGTCCCGACAGGGCCCGATGGTGAAATGCAGTCTCGAGATATGAGTGTCAGTGAGCACAGCGCCGCCGTCACCGCGTATCAGAAGCTCATCACGGAGCTACCGCCATTGAATCGCCAATTGCTCCTCTACATCCTCGATTTACTTGCGGTCTTTGCATCCAAGTCGGACCTCAATCGCATGACCGCTGCCAATCTCGCCGCCATCTTCCAGCCGGGCATAATCTCACATCCTTCGCACGACATGGCGCCGGGACAATATCGACTCAGTCAAGAGGTCCTGATCTTCTTGATTGAGAACCAGGATAACTTCCTCATCGGAATGTCAGGCACCGCCGTGGATGAGAAGACTCAGAAGGATGTTGAGAGCGGCGCGCCTTCTCTACGATCCCCGAAAGCTGTAGGACGGTCTGCGTCCAACGCGAGCGCTGGTGCTGAGAGTCTCCGGAAATATGGAGTCCGGCGTAATGTCTCCGTCTCGTCACGCGGGTCCAGAGAACGAGGCAGTCCTGGAGTTTCCAGCCCAGGTACACCATCTGGGGTCACTTCGTTCGCGGGAGGTGCGGGAATTGCACGAAGCAATACTGTCCCGTCGAAGCGATCTCCAGCAATTACCTCAAATCGCTTTCAGAGAACTAATGATAACATGGATTCGACGATTCAATCTGTGGGACCCCAGGCCGCTCCTCCCGTCGCTTCAGTCACGAACAAGGAGGCAACGGAGTCGAAGTCATCCAGATCTGGGTCTATCCAACCAGATGATGCTGACGGCAGAGGTACGTTGGTTCCTGCACAAGCCGCCCAGGCACCCGGTCAATCTCCGCAACAACTGGCCCAACCTCCATCAGCAACACAACAGAGCTTGCCAACTCAAGATCAGACCGGCCAGGCACCGGTAACGGCTACGGGTGTGGCTGCGGCTGCGGCTGCGGCTCCACCGCCACCACCCATCACGACTCGAGAGCGAAAGATATCTAATCTTTTCCCCAAGTCACCGATATTTGGTCCATCAGATCCCAACGGGAGGCAACCGAGAAAGTTACAAAAGAAACCAAAGCTGCCTGGAAGTACCAACGACAGTGCTCAGAGCTCGCTGAACTCACTCCATGGCGACGAAGCAGCCACCTTCCAGACGCCTCTTGTCTCCCCTGATATCAATAGCGTCGGGCGACACGATCCATTGGCGGCGCCTCAAGGTCCCGTTCTCACCAACACTGCCGCAACACCTATTAATGAAACACCAAAATCGCAGCAATTCTCGACGCCACCTACTGGGAACAACGCGCAGAACCATGCACCCGGGCTCAAACCTCCTACGTCCCCACCCGGGTCGACGCACTCCCGCTCTTCTTTCACGGACCCCTCGGATGCCGACGTAGTCGACGATGCGCAGCAGCAACCCGAGAAAGAAAAGCGTCGTCATCGATGGAGATTTTCATCCGCGGCAAAGAAAGGGGAGCAGTCGCCGCTTGCACCACCACCGCCGATTGGCCAGAACGCCGGGGCAAGAGGAAGTAACAGTTCGATCGGAAGTTCCAATCGACCAAGGAAGAGCTTTACTGGAGACTCTCAACTGACGCAATCTTCGTATGTCGACGCCAGTGGAAGTGGACAGCAGCCCCTTGTCGGTCAATCAAGCCAAGAATCAAACGATGTGCAAAAGGACCTCAGTGCGGAGACAGAGAAGAAGGGGTTGTTCGGTAAATGGAAAGCCAAGATCTCACAGAACCGGGACGAAAGGCTGGCTGAGAAGGACCGAGCAAAGAGTCCTCCTCGAACCGAGCAAGGCTCCTCTCGTAGCAGCTTGGCAGCTTTCGCGCAGGAACACTTGGCCCCACGGGGAAGGTCATTTGACAGACCCCGTGACGAGGTTCTGTCGAGTGTGGTCGAAAGACCGATCGCCGAAGGAAAAGCTCAAGGAAGCAGAGCGTCGATGGATCAGGGACGGGGATAAAGACTACTAGGTGCATCACGGGTTTGCGTGGGTATCGCGGAACTAATCTTGGGTTTGATATGAATGGACTGTCGTGGGCTGGTGCGGGACTTGGGTCGGCACAGAAAAAATGGCTTGAAGAGTCATTCACTTGGATACCTGGGCTGCGATGAAAGAAGATTACTACATTACCTTGGATAAAATGACGCAAGCGAATACAGCGCGAAGGCGGAGGAGAAAAGCAGGGTCATGATTAGGAGCGGGCAAAGGGGTGTACATTGGATAGTAAAAGGGTCGGGAAATTCATGACAAGGCGCTATTGCCATATCGATGGCGTCGATATCACCGTTGTTGACGCGCACTTACGTTCCTTTGCACACCTGTTCATCAAAGACCAACCGATTGTGCCCGAAAAGGTCGCACAGAGGCTTGGATGGAGCGAAGTGACACAAGAGTGGAAGGCCGTGTAGGATGAGCTTGCTTGCCCAAATATAGACATACCACGTGACAAACATCTCGTCAGATCCTGCCCAAAGAAAAGACCCTGGATGATCACCTTTTAAGAGTTTAGCTCGCCTATCCAATTTGTTCAAGACATTGCCAACGTGGTTTAGCCTCTTCCATATTGGGATGTGATGGGACTTTGGTATGTCTCAAACGGGCAATGCTCTCCCCATCCTCGCGAAGCTTTGGTGACTTAATTACTCGTCCCGAGTAAAGAGGTACAAGTATAAGCGCGCCTTGGCTCGAGTCCATCACTCTTTACCAGGTACGGAGTTATTAGCGTTAGACGGTCCCTCTATCGCACCCAGGACATGTTTTGCTCTGATGACAGGCGTCATGTCACGTGTGACGCCACGGCAGACCTTCCCGTGGTGATCGTTCCTCCTGCGGTCCCAATGACCGTTGTCCTCGGCCAACCGTGGAACTTTGTAAAACCCCATTATTTGGGATCCCCGCAAATCCTTCATGGACCCAACCGAGACAACGTCCATGTAAACCACCTGCACCACGAACTCACTTTCTAGCCCCGTTATCATTTTCTTCGGAGGGAGCCTGCCCACGCCCTTGCCCTGCGCCCGACTCTATAACCCCTCGACAACTTTCCCCAGTTCCTTGGACAACGCAGCCCGCGCGCGGGCGTAAGAGGAGGAGGTCGGGGGAACATAAAGAAGAAAACTCCCATACAGAGAGAGAGAGAGAGAGCCGATCGAGTCGGGTCAGGTTACAATTCGATAATGGCCAGCAAGGCGCAAGCTCGCGCTTTCCAACGGGCCTGCCGGCTCCGTCTTCGCAGGGCGAATAGTGGTGTTACAAGCTCCACGGCTGGCTTCCTCGAGTTCTCACCCCGTCCCGGCAGTCTCGTGCCTGAACGGGTCGCATGCGTGAACCTTCTGGAGGTCGTTCGATCCGCGTCGTGCCTTTCTGAACATCGTCGCAGCCTGCCGTCGACGCACCGGGCGCAATCGCGTCACGCGAGCACGAGCTCCAGCTCCGGTCGACGGGCCGTCACCGTCACCACGGACGATGGCCGGTATACCTGGAACGAGCTGAGCGCGGGCGAAAAGGCCGCGCGGGGGACCCAGCAGACGTTCAATTTCGTGCTCGTCTCGCTGGGTCTTGTTGGAACAGTCAGTTCTCCTGTTCCCTTTCCCCCTTCGCCCTTGCTTATCTACCTGGCTTCATCCCAATCCTACCCCTCCTCTCCCATATCCATGAAACTCCGCTACACCATACTAACTCGAAGAGGTGTGGAAAATAGATCACGATCATCTACCTCCTCTACACCGACCTCTTCTCCCCGACCTCCTACACAATCCAATTCAACGCCGCCGTCTCCCGCATCCGCGCCTCCCCCGAATGCCGCGCCCTTTTGGGTCCCGCATCCCAAATAAAAGCCTACGGCGAACCCACCTCCAACAAATGGGCCCGCGCCCGGCCCCTAGCGCACTCCACGGAGGTCGACCGTTTCGGCACCACGCACTTTCGAATGCACTTCAACGTCGAGGGCACGGAGAGTGGGGTCATGGGGGTTGTGACCGTGCACATGACGAAACCGAAGGACGGGGATAGGTTGGAGTATGAGTTGTTGAGTCTAAGTGTGAAGGGGCATGAGACTGTGTATTTGGAGAATAGGGACAAGGAGAGGGGAGTCAAGGCGAAAGCCGCGAAGATGTTTGGTGTGCAGTGGCGGTGACACTGAAAACACTGAGAGAGGAGATATATGTATATATATAGGTGGATGGGTGGAAGAGGTGGCACGATTGCAGAATATTGCCAGCCGCCTCCGATATACGAGTGTTCAAGTCTGGCCAACGAAGCAACGCGAACGCTCCCACACACTGCCATGACAATGTGTTCGCGTGGGCTGCTCATCGATATGTCTCCAGCCAGAAGAAAGGGGATGGTGACCAACGTAGTCTGCTGGATGGGCTTTCAAATAGCCATTCATTAAGTCCGCTAATTAGTGCTCCGACTTGGGCATTGCGCTTTCGAGGCAATGCGCTTTCGAGGCAATGCGCTTTCGAGGCAATGCGCTTTCGAGGCAATGCGCGATACCGGTCAGTGAATGGGAGATACTGTATTTTGGTCCTTTGGGTGGACATTCAAATCCATCCGAGCTGTTAGCTGCCTCATCGATAAACCCAAGCCATCTGCAGTGACTGCCTCGTTGGGCATTTCCTTCTTGCTTATGGATCTAGCTCTGAAGGTACTCCTACTGTGCACGGCCTTCCATCGTTTCACGCAAATCCAATGACTTACAGCACCAGAGTGGGCCATAATCCTCGTGCTGTGTATCCAACCCGTTGTGACCTCCAGCTACAAGCTGTTCAGGCCGGCACTTCCTCGCGCTTCAGAACCTGGATCTTTCCACTTCCCACGGCCGTCACTACAGCTGGCGTCGGGGAAGTCTCAGATTGTTCAGCCGCATCCCCCTTTTCATCGGCGGAGATGGGCTGGCGCCTGTGACTTGTGATGTCAATACCCAGCACGCCACCGATGTATCCGCCCCTTTCGCCAGGTACACTAAATTCGCGAAAGGTGTAACCCCATTCATTCAGCCAGTTCCGTACCCCTTTTCCAACCTTGTCCTTACCATTTTTGGAGTGATGGCCTGTGCCCGTGATCGCATAGATGATCCTTCTGCCTCTCTTAGAATGGGTCAGGAGGATGTTCTCAAGGTACTCGATGGCTTCTTCGGGATGCAGACCGTGGAGGTCAATGTACAGTTCTTCGTCGTCGTCAACGGGAGAGGTGGAGAGATGTTTGTTTCTTTCCTCGTAGAGAGCCTTGGCGGCTTCGCGGTGTGCTTTACGCATTGCATCATTTTCGGCCTGGCCCCGGAGAGATAGGGCCTTTGCAGCCCGGGCGTCGTTCCGGTTCCATGCTTGTGCGGCGCTTTGGGCTCTTTCAGCATTGTTCATGAATACCCTGGTAGTGTCACTGGGGACTCACCTCTGCAGGAACTTATTTCGTATACTTCCGTGCTTTATCGCTTCCTGTCTGTATTTCAAATACTGCTGATTGGCACGGGCCCCTGTCTCAAGCCACGGGATGTGCTGAGGTTCGGGAATTTTTCGTGCTGCCGCACTCTCAGAGCCTCCATATGTTCTGATCTTCCGTCCTGCCTCGGCTTTGCGCTGCTGACCGGTAGCAGGGGATGGAGACATGCGAACAACGTCTGCGAGTGACGAGGGCGTCTCCTTCTCTACGCTTCCATGACCATGTCTAGACCGGTGGCCGTGATGCTTGGATCCTCGTTTCGCAGAGCCCAAAGTTGGAAACGCTTCGGGATCGTCCATCGACAAGGAAGACGGTGTCTCCGGTCGATTCTGATGACGCGAGCTGGGTCGAGAATGAGATCGAGGACCGACGGCCAAATTACCCAAAGCACCACGATTCTTTTGATTAGCAGGAACGAATATATTACCAGCGGCCAGACCAGCTTGAAGGGTGTTCCTGACATTCTGGTTGGTAAGTGAGGGAAATTGTTCGTAGTGATCTTGGAGTTGAAAAGGCTGTGGAGCACCAGGACCTTCGCCAACTGTGAGATGATTGATAAGAAGCGCGGGATCGTGTGAGAACTGGCAAGCATCGCCAGCTAGGCAGTTCCCGTTCATCCAGTATCTACAGTATTCATTAGTATAGTAGACGGCAGACAAACAACGGAAAACAGCCTCACTTGCACAGATAGCCGCTTGTATCATGAGCAAAACGACAGTCAGCACGAAGGCAGGAGCCTGATGTAAGCCAGTATTTACAGACGATAGGATTCTTTTGGGGGCCAGGGGTGGAAGGTCGAGCAGGATTTACTGCCATGGATTTGCCGACCAGAACGTTATTCTCGGTCGACGGAACCCCCGTGTATTGTGTATCGGCAGTGTCTGTTCCAAGCAAGGACGCAATGGTAGCCCCTAAGTCGTACGAGTTCTTATTCAGTGCTTCCTCGATTTCTTCATCCGTTTTTCGATCGCCCAGGACGGAACGCAAGATGTCATAGGGACTCATATCTGGTTGAGGGACCCATTCTGGTGCAGCAGCGCTCAAGCCCCCGGTGCCCGTGGAAGAAGCGTTACTGGTGGTCTCGTCAGCCAGCAGCCAGTCAACATTCTCATGCCCATAGTCGCCGTAAGTGTCCGGGGCAGGACTCGCGTCGGAGAACTCATAAGCGTTCAGGCTCGGACTGTGAGGGATAGGTTGCGCCAGAGCAAGGCGTGGTGACGGCCGAGGAGATACAAAAGGAGACGGGATATTGGACTTCTGGCGGGAGAAGCTGGGCCGCGAGGCTGGAAATCCTGCCGAGAGCGCCGGGCTCGAGGAGAGCGGAGGAGGCGACCCTAGGGGCGTAGGTGCACGGTTGGTCTGCCAGGGAGCGGGAGATGACTTGCGAATGACATTATGTCGCAAGGGAGTCTCGGCAGTCTCTCCGCGTTGAGCATTTCGATGTTTCCATAGGGCGTCAAGGACAGCATTTTCCAAGGCTGCACCCTTCAGACCAGGCACTTTACCCAGCACCTCCTCCAAACGCTCTGTCTTATCCTCCTCTTCTATTGTCGGGTCGTCGAGAATAGGTCGACAAAGATCGTAATGTTCGTCAGAAATCATTTCGGTCGTGACTGCGGTCTAAGTGTATGTTTGTAGTACGGCAAAAGGGGGGTTTCTAGAGGGATCGGCCGATGCCCGACATGAACATGCCAGTACGCGCGTGGAACTGGACTGCTGAGTTGTAGCTGAGGGATATCTGAGGTGATCGAGCCGGTTGCCTCAGGGTATAAGAGACATGCTTCAGTGAGCAAGCACTGGAGAGCCCGACAGCAGGGGCTGCGGGGGGTTCGGGCTGGGGTCCTTCAAGTGTAGTCCTCGTCAGGATCAACCGACACGTTCACCGAAGCGTCAAGCGTGAACAAGTTCATCAAGCATATGCAAAGGCAGTATGAAGTTCATCGCCAGGTGGAAGGTGACCACGCCGTGGGGTGGAGTCGATCAAGGTCCTCAGCCGCTCCAGGTTGCGCGGGCACACGTAGGCGTAGCGAGGGGACAGCTGAGTGGGAAGCGAGCGAGGGATGAACGGAATCCTTGGAAGAGGAACAGCCAGTACGAGGAACGTCCCACGCAGGCAGGAGTTTGTAAGGAGAGGTGAGTTCAAGGGACACATGCACCGCAGTTCCGGGGATACCAGGATAGAGAGAGGGTAGATGGTTCGTAGCGAAAGCGAGACCAGGGGCATGGAACGACGATGAGGAGGTGGATGGGGGTGGGAAGTTAGTACGAGGTACTACTACCGAGTACAGTCTCCAGAGCCCAGAGGTACTCGTGGCCCACGATACTGGTAGGTTCGAGGCAGGGCGGGGAGGAAGGGCCGCTAACTTAGGCTGCCCGCTGCCCTCTGGCCTCTGAGCTGTGCCCCATTCCTAGGTGGTTCTAGAGCCATTCCACGTAACACCTGGGTACCGAGCCGGCTTCAGGAATATTGAGTGTCAAAGGTCTGACGGGAAGAGGGTACAATGGCTGCAAACAAGAAGTCATTACTGCCCGTATTGGCTATACGCCTATCTTTTCGTAGAAGGGGTTTTTATCTACTCGTACTCTTAGATGTAGCGTAAGTCTGTACTTATTCCCAAACACTGGCTATCTCTGGTATGGTGGCCACCTCATCATTATCGAGTACATCGTATTTGGTGTCAGACTGTGCAATTCATGTCAAGTCGACTGAGTACATACCTACCTCTGCCCCATCCAACCGCTGGGACGCTCGTATCAGGTCGCCTCCACTTAGGATCCCTCAAAAGTGCCAGGAACTGGTGTACTATATATATACGGAGTCCAACGCTCAGAAGAGCGGCTGAGGGAGACTTGCCTCCCCGAGTACATGGTGCATGAAACGTACATTCTTGGGGACAATGTAGTGGATTCTGGCGCATGGCACATTCAAAGTTGTTTAAACAATAATGCTAGGCACAAGCACCAATACCTGTTCGCTAAGAATACGGATGATATATGCATGATCCACAAGCCGGAAGTTGGCGTTGCAGCTTGATGCGGAAACCCATCAACCCGCCAACCTCCAGGCCGCAGTTGTCATCCAAGGCCATTCTCATCTTCTCTGGGTTCCCAGTCTACCTACAACTCCATCTCAGCGTCGGACACATCTTCGCGCTGATCACAATTCATTCGTCCTATTCAAGATGGTCAATAGTCGCATCTGCTGAGCTCGTACCACCTACGCATCCGCGGTATCCTCGTTCGCCTCCTTAATTGCCAGCATTTTGCTGTGCTTACTCTCGATCGCTTCTACGTCCTTAACATCGCCCTCCTCTATTCTCCTCCCACACAATGCCTCCAAGTCCTATATCGCTACCCGATTCCGAGGACGAGTCTCCTCCTGCGGGGCTTCTCAGTCCCTGGAGACCTCCTCGACGATCCATCTCCACAGGCAGAAGCTCCCCGTTTAATCGATCAACAGCATGGCGAGACGAGCTGATCAATAATGCTGAGAAGATGGGCCGCCGTGTATATAGGGTGTGGAGTGGTATGACTCTGCTGCAAAAGATCCTCGCCTGCGTTGGGCTGGTGGCGTTGGCTACCCTGGGTGTCCTGTTCCTTGTGTTCAATGAGCGTATCTTCGGCTGGCTCGAACCGCTTGCTGAACGTTGGAAACACACGACGGGCGGCTGGACAATCCTGTGGGCAATCGTCTTTGTCTGTGCGTTCCCACCAGTCATTGGATATTCTACTGCCGGCACCACCGCGGGTTTCGTCTATGGCGTTGGCGAAGGCTGGCTGATTCTCGCCTCCGCTACCGTGGTTGGATCTTTCTGCGCCTTTATCGTCTCCCGAAGCATCCTACGGAAGTGGGTGGAGCGCATGGTTGCCCACGACAAGAGATTTGCCGCCTTCAGCCTCATCCTGAAGCATGACGGGTTGAAGCTGCTGGCCATGATCCGACTCTGTCCTTTGCCTTATTCCTTGTCGAACGGTGCCATGTCCACTTTTCCGACGATCAACCCGTTCATGTACGCCCTGGCCACGGCGATGGTCACTCCGAAGCTGTTGGTGCACGTCTTCATTGGAAGCCGTTTGGCGGTCATTGCACGGACACGGGAGAAGATGACTATGGGAGATCGAGCCATCAACTATGGCAGTATCGCATTGGGTGCTGTGGTGGGGGGCCTTACAGGATTTTACATATATCGACAGACCATGGCTCGAGCCAAGCAGCTTGAAGCTGAAGAAACCAACTCAGTTCGAGACGCAGCCCGACGGACTGGTCACCCGCCGCCAGAGTTCAGTGACGATCCCGAGGCCCAGATTGCTGCGGAGACGGTTGCTGACGACACAATGGACTATTTTGACGAATCGCCTAATGAGCGACCAAGGTATCATGATGAAACCGACGATGACGACGACGTCTTTGGCAAAGGCGATGGAGATGATGACGAACCGGTGACTGCCAACATTGGCTTGCATCAGCAAAAGAAATCTGAAGGCGCATAAAAGGCTGCGGTTTGACGGATTCCAGGTTTTGAAGACAGGGATAGATACGATAGACTCGCGGGAAGCTCCGGTGAACGAAAGAAGACATAGACGACGAAGGAGCCAGGTCTTGAACGTCGTAGATAGAAAGGCTATCCGCCACATCAGCCTCGCTGTCACCAATGCTTCTCTATTCCTATGATGTTACGGACAACTCAGGCTGTGATGGCTGTCTCCAGCGCCAGTAAATCTTCATTCCATCGTCTGGGCGTCTGATTAGCGGCGCCAGAGGTAAAGGCTCTTGTCCAATCGCATATACAGACTCTCTCACCGGTCTTCTCCTTCAAGGTACAGATTGACCTTTTCACGTGACTTGTACACTCGTATTCCCCCCCAAAACAGCGTCATACCTAGGTAGCGAATCCTCCAGCGTACCAGGTCCAGTGAGCACACACCTATCACGCTGTTTTTTGCTCGATGACTTTGATCTGGCATTTCTCACAGGCGGGCTAGAGCCTCTTTTCATTTTTCTGGACACCGCTTTCGTTTTCTGTGTGCAACCGAGTCCCACGCGACCCACTTGTTTACCTAAAGGACGGGGCAGTCTAGGGAGTAGACCGCTTCCATGGAGCCTTGGGCGAGGACCCTGCCTCCCACTGAATCCATCAAGAAAGGCATTGATTCCCATATTGTGCTTTCATTTGATCCGCTGATACGGCTGCTGCGTTTGGTACATCGGTCCGCCTGCTTGGCTACATGATGGGGTCGATTCCTGCAGCCTTGCTATGCAGAAGAATTCTTACTACATAAGATGACGCCGGAACATTCGTCCCCTTCAAATCCTCCATCGCCACGCTTCGTCGATGACTACTTTCCTCCTCAACCTCCTCCACAGATGGCCGTCGACAACGAGACAGTCCTCAAATTGATTCAGCAACTCGAAGTCGACCGGGAAGCCTACCTGTCCACCTTCGAGAAGGTCCACGACACTTTAATTCAGGCTCTCCATCCACAATCAACCAGGCCCCTTGCGAGTCCGCGGCAGACCCTGCCATCTATTCCATTGGCTTCATCTCCCACATCACTGCCAACTTCTGAGTCTGGCCAACCGGCCGTCTTGTTGAAAAGAAGAACCAGTCTGACAAGTCACCACTCGAATCCGAGCAGCCATATCCTCGAGCAACACCACGCCCTACGTAACCCGAAAGATTCGATCTACACTGGTGATGACAGCTCAGACAGCGACGACGATGAATCATTCTTTGCTCAGGAGCTATTGCCTCCGAGGGATTTCTCGGAGAGTGACTTGATCGAGCACTTGAAGACTTATTCGTGGGATATTTACAGCAAGTACATTCTTCAGGATCTTCTCCGGAACATTGATTTGCTTTCGAATGGCATTTTTCTCAAGGACCGGCATAATCAGACAGATGCCAATCACCAGCATGCAGATATCTACCATGTTGGGGCGGACGGCTCGCCTCTGCGGCACTCCCGAGGTGATTCAGATGAAGGCCCTCTTGCGGCTTGGGAGGCTTTGAAAAACACCAACATGGACCAATCAAGGAAACAGGCCGTGGGTCGGATAATCGTTGTCCGAGAGCCTGCATCAAGCCTTTTCGCCGCCTTGCATCTCACCATGAGCGAGTACTTTGACATGGACTCCATTTTTCGCATGATGATCGACGATCACACCCCGTCCAAGGCTATCACAAAGGGGTACTTGAAAGCGGACCAGCGCCGGCAGCGATCAGTGGTCTTTGTGTTCAAGTATCACACGATCGTAGGGGAAGGGCGTGCTCCTCTTCACTGGCAGAATCATGACGCAGATCCGGAAACCGAGGATGGCCATATCCCGCTGGCGACATGTTCTTCGGTTGTTGCCCTCTCCCTCGCTGGCAAGCCCAGTTATACCCTCCGACGGAATTCTCGGAAGAACAAATCGGTCCTTGGCCATGTTTACGACCCTTTCGCGCCATACCACGTCCTCTCCATCCAGTGCTTTCCGGACTGGAACTCCAGCGTTGACACGCATGAACATAATCATCATTACTGCAATGGTCCCGATGCCTTTCTGACAGGCGTGCTCTCGGAATACAAAGATGCAATCAAAAGGTTCAAGGTGATACACAAGGCCATTCAAGAGCTGGCCACTCCGCCGAATAAATCGATCTTCGACAGCGCCCTCCGAGACGAACTTCTCTTTGAAAACAACAAGTTCACCTACTCGCGGCGCTATTTTTGGGCATCGCAGACCCTTGGCCTCCTGAGCAACGAAATCAAGGACATGATTTCGGCCTACAGGGACACCTTCACGGATGAGTTCTGGTCGGGGGAGCACAAAACGCTGTTTCCCGGGACCAAGGACCAGTCGCCACGGTACAATAATTGGAGGAAGAAACTAGTGTATACTCGAAGACAATACGAAAAGGAAATTTCCCAGCTGGAGGAGGTTTTGCGCATATTTCAAGAACAGCAAAAGCAGATCAAAAACCTGCGCGAGTGGCTCTTCAGTGGGACGTCTGTCCTGGAAAGTAGAGAGGCAGTGAGTATGGCGAAGATAACCGTCGAACAAGGCTACAACATCAGGCTATTGACGTTGGTCACCTTGTTCTACTTGCCGCTGAGCTATGTCACGGGGATATATGGGATGACGAACATGCCACCGAATGGCACCTTTCTACCCTTCGCGGTGACAACGGTCGGGATTTGCCTACCAACTTACCTTCTGATACTGGTTGTGAACAACCCCAACGTCTTCAAAGGACTTGCAGCCAATATCGGCCTCTTCTTCACCAAAATCACCTCAGTTCCCGCCCCGAAAAAGTCCGAGAAGCTCCGGGAAAAGATCTTGGAAAGCAAAATGTTGCACAAGGGAGAACAGCAACAGACCATGCAAAAAGTGGCGACTTTCGCGAGCCTCGAGGCTCGGCTGTCCCAGGACTTGAGCCACGAGCCTTCGTTACGGGGCTCCCACGGTTTCACGCAAGCCGCCCGTCGCATGTCCCAATCCATCGGCAACTATCTACCTGGCGTCGCAACAAGACGAGCCTCGCAATCACTGCCCAAGCATGCCCCATTTCCCGACGAACCCAGAAACCCTCGGAAATCCAGCACGATCAAATTCGACGAACCTTTCTCCACCGGCTCGACGAAGTGGCAGGCCAATGAACAACCGCCACCACGGACCACAGTCCGGGACTTTGAAAAGTCTTTCTCAAACCTCTCCAGCATATCCCCGACAGAGAGTCCACCTTTGCCCGAAGTTGTCGTCCGGACGCCGAACGGATCGCCCCTGCTGTCCCCCTCGAGGGCGACGCTGAGACCGCCTGAATGGCGGAGAGAAAGGAGCCTCAGTCCCGGAAGCGGGCCGAGAGCGAGCAGGTCTCTCTTTGGGAGGCTCAGCAGTCGACTTTCATCCGCGCTGCCGTCGCCGAGGTCGTCTGAGCCGGGGAGTCCTATGGAAAATGTCTAGAAACGACAGGCCCCTTGGGCCGTAGGGATAATACACTCTACGGTCATGCCTGTTGCACCTCACACGTGCCCTGGGTGGGACGGACCGGGAGGGTTGAAGACATGATTGAAATGATGTTACGAAAAGGGCGAACAGCACAAGCTTCTTCACGAGTAGATGAGAAACGATCTCACGATCTAACTATTGCAGTACTTGTGCCGTTACAGACGGACCCCTCACGGGAGCTACGGTGACTGGGATGGGAGCATGAGCGCATCAAGTGTACACCGACGGACGGCTGTTGATTGAAGCCGGAGAACATCAACGATGCTGGCCACTGCTGAGAAGGTGTGTCGGAGTCCATACGAGGTACATGTACAGTACATCTGGGCCGCCCGGTCATATCGCGACCCCGACAAAGATCAAGTGCCACCTAGCCAGCCATGTACATAGGCACTTCTACCATCTTGGTTGAATCAATGCGCTCCCAGCCCCTTTTTTTGGTTCTGCTTGTTTCGCCGTACCGGATCGGATACTTTTGCCATTCCCATTCATTGCGCCCTCATTAGTGACCCGTTCTTCCATCCCTGACAGATGCCGCACGTAATACGCCAAAATCACATTGGTGAACAATATCCCCAACACCAAAACCAAGCACAAACATCCAGCCTACCTGTCGAGAGAGGAAACCCAGGCCTAAACTGAAGAGAAACAGAGATGACCGGAAGGGAGGTTTGCCTGAGATTCTCTCTTTCTCTGCTGTGCATGCTCACATTCGAAAAGTTTGTTGCCCTTTCCTTCTTGAATCGGTGTGCCATGGACTCTGGTAACTCGAATCGTCCACCTAAAGGTTCCCTCTCTGCTGCGTTTTGGATGAGGTGCTTGGCTTTGGACCTCATCATCCTCAGATTTTGGACGTTTTGGAATTGGGTGTCAATGATTTTGAAACGGGACGGAAGACCGCGTCTTCATGCTGGGAAGTGTGAGATGCAAGAACATCCGGCACCCGCTCAAAAGAAGACCTGCAGGTTCCATGCCGCACAAAAGGCATATCATCGTTTTTCCCTCTTGTGAGTGACGCCGGATCGAATTCAAAACAATGACCGTTGATTGGTGAACTTGCGCAGATCGGGCAGTCGGAAACAAGTGATCGGGTTCTGCAAGTCAATCAGATCTTGACATGCCTCCCCTCTCGTTCCACCGCTTTGACAAGGCTCTTGTACGTGTCTTCCCAGCTCTCCTTATCATCGCCTTCCTCGAGGGTCTTTTTGCTGACGTCTTTCCCTCCTTTCTTCCCACCGGCGTCCCTGCTGACCATCACGACGCTGGTCGGCCGCTTCGTCTGGCCTGCGGTGCCCAACTCCGCACGACTCGTTACGTAGATGTAGGGGACGTTGTGGTCTTCGGCCAAGACGGGGATGTGAGAGATGACGTCCATGGGAGAGATGTCAGCTGCGAGGATGACGACGCCGAGAGGGAGTTTTTCGGCGGTCGAGGAAGTTGGGGATTTTCGGAGCGCTTTGACGACTTCTTTGACGCCGCGTCTTAACGTACGTTGCGAGGCGGCTGCGGATAATATCATCGAGTTAGCAAGGCCATGTTCAAAATGTGAGGGAAGGATTTGGCAGCCATGTTATCACCTTTTTTGACGCATTTAAACACCTTCTTAGCGACCTTGTCGTCTGCCAATGGGTTCGCAAAGGGCACCAAAGCTCCCACGGGTCGTGCAGCGAGGATCTTCTTCTTTTCTGAGTCTATTGTTGCCTTTTTCGACTGCTCTCCCTCTTCCTCTTCCTCGTCTTCATCCTCTCCTTCCTCATCGTCGACTTTCACACCATTTTGCTCCTGCATCTCGTCGTCGTCGTCGTCTTCTTCCTCACTGCTTTCCTCGTCCTCGTCCTCGTCCTCCACTTCCGCCTTGTTCTTCTTGTTGCCTTTGCCTTCGAGCTCATTCAAGGCCTTCTCCGCCAGCACCTTCCTCGCCGCCTTTTTCTCCTTGTTCTCTCCTTTTGTTTTTGTCACTCCGGTGGGGCCAGCTCCACCGGCTTTCCCTGTCGCAGCAGCTTGTTTCTTTGCGACTTTTTCAGCTTTGCGGGCCTGTTTTGCGGCTTTTCGCTCGGCCTTGCGCTCAGCTTTCGCGGCCTGTTTGGCGGCGCCCGACTTATCTTTCGCCATCTTGCCTTTTCACACACCCTTCAGTTTTGAAGCAGTAAAGTATTTCTTGAAGGACTTGGATAGGGAACAGCGTCGTTCACAGATTTCCCAGAAGCGGTATAGGCGAGATAGTAACAGGTGCTGTTCGCCGGATATCGCGCGTGACTTTGAGATCCGGTGGTTTAGGGACGAATTCTTGATTGACTTGGGCGGAAAGCGCCACTGGCTTGAGGCTGGAGCCCAAAAAAAGATCTTTCTACTGGGGCTTGAAATTTGCGGAGTCGACCGTGTCAAGAATTTCGTGAAGGGCAGAGGGAGATATTCAGGACGCTGCAAACAATAGCTAAGCCGTGCTTAAAGACACCAAAAGAGAAGCAAAATTCAAAAATTATTTTGGCTTCTCCGCACCTTGGGCCACGGGCGAGCCTACTCGCTCGTCGGGACAGCTTAACGTGGCAGCGCGGGTCGCAGAGAAATTTCCCGCCGCTTTGAACGACGGCCTCTTCACACGATGCCAAGAGCACCTTTTATGAGGTGATATTTGACTTTGATGTTGGAAACTTGAAGTCTGCCATGGCATCCATTATTCCAGAAATGTGACTTTCATGATAGGCACCTTTGGTTGGTGCCGTGAGGCTCTCTAGATCTGAGGGCAGCATTTCTCTTGAAGTGAATCTGATCTGTTCAAACAATTCCATGATATCTCGTTCACAGCCTATTCTGTACCGAGCAGGTCATTATTGATGTGGACACGGCCCAAATCACTAGCATCGCCAGCAGCTAACATACCTAAGGGCCATTTTCATTAGTGACATGGTCTTTTCGTTTCTCTAAACGTACCTACCTAGGTACTGCACTTTCGAGTACATTCCTGTGACTTCAGTTTTGACTGGAGAACAAAGGATTGTGTTCCTGTCGACACGCGAGGACATCCATCAGTTGCGGCTCCTCATCGTCTCTGCCCACCCACTCGTACTACGACAACTTTTAGTGGACAAATGCCGGGTTCGGCTCCACCGGTAGTGTCAGTTACTAACGAAATTCCCAGGCCAGAGACGGTGCTTCGCCCATAGGGAGAGGCAGAATCAGCCAACGACTGCTTCCTATGTCTGAGATCGTCAATCCCATTCGTGATACGGTCAGTAACAATTTCTCGCTCACATTGGTGGAAAGCTTTACGCATCTCAAAGGCCATGCCTATGGCAATAATACCAGTTTCACTCCCCGGCCGAAATTCACCGAGCTCTGCTATTCCCCAATATAGCATTTTAAAAGAAGCCCTGGCAGTGCTATGACTGCTCTCCTCCTTTTGGAATATCTGTCGAGGCGTCAAAGTCATTGGATGGTGAAGAATTTTATACCTTAAGCCTTTGTGCTTGGGTTCGGTCTGTGCAGGGAAGCAGGGATGCGGCTGAAGAAAGATTTCCTGTCTAGAGTGGTACGGCCTCGGGACTTGGAGCGTACCTGATGAGGCTGTTGGGCCAGACGTCCGGCTCGGTGGTACGGTCTACAGTACGAGTACACCCTTCGAAAATCAACTGCATGGCTAGCTCGGTAGCTTGCGCAATCATGCAATCATGCTCGATAACACTTCAGGAGCAACCTGGAAGCGAGGGCGTTGTGAGGCTGAGTTGGCCCGGCGCATACTCACACGCCCAAAGATGCTCTCAGCTGCCCAGCCTGATCCCCGGTGGTCAACGCGAAATCAATTATCGACCACGTTGCCTCGCTGTTTTTGTGGTCCTGCTCTTTCTTCTCCAGCTCGAAGCCATTGACCAAATCTAGTCACTGAGAGCTACCTCGAATCAACGACCCTTATGCGCAGTCTGGCCTTGACAATAGAGACTGGCGCCGCATCGTAATGTGGCCCTCCCCGCACAAATCACGGGCAACTCTTCCAGGGGTGGATCGGCGGAGCACTGGTGACGGAAAATCTGATTTGGGCTCCAGCAACATGTCATTAAAGCCCTCGAGCCCAGAACTCTCATATAAAACTCCTATTCGAAGCCCTGATTCTGCACCAAGTCAGGATCTACGTTCGCGGCAAAATCCTCCGCCTGGACAGACATATCAAGACGGCTGTCTTTACCATAACAACCCAGTCCGTGTGGCGTTTAGAGAACAAAAGCTGATTTGGCCTGATCGGGCCGAATGCTGCCCGGACATCATCCTTTCCATTGGCACCGGTGTCAATGAGCGCTTAACAACACGAAAACCAGCGCCGAAACGATCACGCTTCGGGCTTCTCAGAACATTTCAGAATCTCGCAAGCATGGTCACAGACCATATCCAATCTAGTCTTAACTCTGAGCAAACGTGGAGGAACTTTTTGGCCGATAGTATCCTCTCCCTCACCTTAGGAGTCGCTATGAAAGACTCAATCTACAAATGGATGGCACACCGCCCAAGATGGATGATGTACAGAAATTGGGCGAGCTGAAAGACATGACGATCTCGCGTTTCATTAAAGACGGTGACCGCTTGAAGGATGTGGCCGATCGGCTATTAGCGACCAGTTTCTATTTTGCTCTGACGCCAGATGAGACACCCGTCGTTGATGGACAATGGTGCGTCCATGGGACAATCCATTGCAGGTTTCCATCTGGCCCTCAGATTCGAGCATTTGGCGAGGCATTGGAGGGGCGGCTTCAAAGGGCTCACAGCCGAGACAACCGCAAACACCAGCCGTACTTCGTGGTCCAAGAACGCTACCGTGAAGGGCAAGCAGTGCAGATAAGATTACAGCATGATATCACCGATAAAATGATCAATGAAGGGATGTTCACAGCCATCAAGCTTGAGATCAAAGTCTCGGATGACCACGCTGAAACTGAGATATTGTTCTGCTTCGGGGACCGACCTGAGGAGGCTGCCTATTTCCCCATAAGCGGATTCCCGAGATGTCTCCGCTTGGAGGTCAAAATGGCTCTCCGTCCAAGACTGGTGCAGACAGAACAATTTACCTTTGCGAGGGTAAAGTGGGATTCTCTTGAGGCTAGGAAGGCCTCTTGGGGCACTGGTGTTGCGGACTTGTTCGAAAGCCAAGATCCCTTGGGAGCGTTTGGCAGTGCAGAATACAAGAATCCTGGCAATGCCGGGGACAGCCTTGTCCAAGGGCTATCGGAAAGGTACAGCACAGTGCGTCAGCCGTCGCAAAGATCGAATCCATCAGACAGAGCCGAACTTCCAGCTTTCAACCAAGACGACGAGTTGTATAACGGGGAGAATGATGCCGAATCTCCTATGTCGGAAAGCGAGATCCTTCGCATTCAGTGGCTGCGGCTTTTACTGAGCCCCCGCGAAGTTGGGAATTACATATCGGGACCTCCCGATTCATCGGCACGCCAGTTGTACCGTGAACGGCCATCCATATTCCCTGTGTCGGTTGTTGACCAACTTCGGACAAGGCAGCTGCGGGACTGGTCGAATGATCCAGTCTACCTTTCCAATGGTCGATCCGCCTTGAACAAATTGGTTCGTCGCACGGAGACCCTTCCAGGAGAGCCTTTCGAGCTATCCACCGATTCCCCTCAGCGAATCGAGCATACGGCAGAATCAGTCGTCTCTACACCTACGGCTCCTCAAGGGCCGTTTTTTCGGGGGTTCCCCTTTTGAATGTTTGACTCAATGAAACCGATTGGGGGGAGAGAGAGAGAGAAGTAGCTGGGTTGTAAACAGTGAAAGAGCTATAGCGGCAAATATGCTCTGACCGATATACCTCGCCTAAAGGTTCGTATTCGGCCCACGACATTCAGCGTTCAATCAACCAACGCAAGGTTCATTCCTACGTCGACATCGGAGTATTCACCCTGGTATTTGGTACCTAGCAGCCAATATAGGTCACGAAAACACCCTTGGCAACAATCAAAAGGGAAAAGACCCAGTTGCGATCTGCGCACTCGCCTTGACTTCGTCCCGTCCACGGACAAAGATGGCTGGCGGAGACGGTCGAAATTTCATCCGAGCGCCCCATCAGGTGGTTCGGTAGCTAGTTGACGAGACTCGTCGTTCCTATCTGTTCGCCTGCAGAATGTACAACTTATCATCTGAGTGAAGCAGGCATGGCACTGGTTTGCACATGTTGCAGGTAGATCCCAAGACTGCCAGCAATACTAAAGGTTGTGCGGTCAAGTCGCCGCGGTCGACAGATTGAATAGTTTGCGAGATCTCAAGGATCGAATAGCCTTACAGACCACTTCGCCCCGGTCGCCCTGTTGCCTCCGTACAGACCTTAGCCATGGCCGAAGAGTTCAACTTTAAGCTTGATATCGGGCATGCTTTAGGGACCTTCCTCCATTCGCAGTTTTTCGGGACGCCGCCATATCCAACACAGTCTTTCTCCAACCAGGTCATAATCGTCACCGGCTCGAATGTTGGTCTGGGATTTGAAGCTGCCCGACATTTCTACCGTCTCGACTGTGCGAAACTGATTCTCGCTGTACGCACAATCTCCAAAGGCCAGACAGCCAAAGAGGATATTGTCCGAAGTGTGAAACACCGCTCCGATGGGGCAGAGGCCATCGAGGTCTGGCCCTTGGACCTCTCCAGCACAGAGAGTACCTTGGCGTTCGCTGAACGCGTGAAGAAAGAGTTGCTGCGAGTCGACGCTGTCGTGGAGAATGCCGGCATCAACCATCAGAGCTGGGTAGTTTCCGAAGGATTCGAGCAGATCATTCAGGTGAATGTGGTCAACACTTTGCTGCTCGGCCTGTCACTGCTGCCCAAGTTGAGAGAGACAAGACGCAAATTCCCCGAGTCCAGCCCTCACTTGGAGATTGTCAGTTCCGAGGGCCACCATTTTACCAATTTCAAAGAGGTCAATGCTCCAGACATTTATGCGGCCTTGAATGACGAAAAGAGGGGTGATATGCTAGCCAGGTAAGTGTCTGAGGAGGCGCAAGTACGTTGCCCTCTTCTTTTTGCTCTTCGAAATTGCATCAGGCTCACACAAGAACGACCAGATATCCGGTTAGCAAACTCATAGATATACTCTTTGTCCGCGAGCTCGTTCTACGTCTCCAAGAGCGCGACAAATCCAGCACCGAGACAGCGCCGCCTGTCACAATTACTTTGGTCAATCCGGGCTTCTGTGTGTCTGACCTGGATAGGAATATGATCCTCCCAGCACGAATCTTGATGTATGTCGTACGCATGCTCCTTGGAAGATCAACAGAGGTGGGGTCTCGTACCTTGGTCTACGGCGCATCCGCCGGTCCAGGCTCTCACGGGGAGTTCATGTCGGATGGCAAGAATCAAGAAGTTGAGAAATGGATATATTCGGATCTAGGGAAGAAGGCGCAGGTCAAGGTGTTCGAGCAGACGATGAGAGTGTTGGAGGCTAGGAAGCCGGGCATCGGGGCGGAAGTCGGGTTGCCAGCCTGATCGTCGAAGAGGCCAGCTTCAGCCTATGAAGAAAATGGGCTGCGACTCCTGCGAGGAGTTGCAAACATTCATTCGCCCCTAGCATTTTCTTCTTTTCGACCCGAGATTATGCTCTGCTTACGGACCAAGAGTCGAAATTTCAGCACGGCATGCGTGGGTCGTTATTGGCCCCAGCAAATCCTTCGATCAGGCGGCCTACCTAGTAGACTTGAAACTATAATGACATTAATGACCGACTTTCGACCAGAAGTACGAGACTATCAAACGAGCAGCCAAACATAATATTTCAGCTCTTTCCCTAGCTATACATGTTCCCCGCAATCTCTTCCCTGGTACGACATCACGAGAAACCTGGGCCGCGCTTCTCACCCCTACAATCTCACACAATCATGGCAAGTGCTTACTGTCTAGAACTTGGGAAGACGATACCGTCGGCGCCACTTCCTGGAGGATTGAGGCGGACGATAGGGTGGTACCATGAAGCATAAAGGCTCCTAGACCGGTCTACGTCTCTGCGTCAAGCTATCCTCCGTTACAAGACCGCCGGACATACCGCGCCAGCCTATAAAGAACGATGTTGCGCACATACATCGTCTTCATACAGAACGGGTAAGTTGAAGAAAGTGTTCTCGGGGTGTAAACGAAAAAGGAACAATTGAGCCGGCAACCATGTCACGCACTATCGACAAAGTGCCAGAAAATGCTTCCTCGCAGAAGGTCAAACTTGTGGTCGCCAGCTGTAGTCGGTAAGGCTCTACTACCAGATAAACCCAGTACAAACATCTGAATGAGATGCGCTCTTTCCCTCAGGAAGTTCAACTGGCTAACCAACGCCTCTCAATCTCCAGCACAGCAACATTGGGCCTCTACCAAGCCCTCAAGATACTTGGCTATAAACCGTATCATATGTACGAGATGGCCACGTATGGTGGAAATACCCACTGGGAGATCATGATGCAAGGCTTCCGCGCCCAACACAATCGCTGGTCGGGCATCCAGCGGTATACCAAGCGAGAGTTCGACAAGTGGTTTACCGGCTACGATGCCTTGGTCGAAGTTCCCTCGTACTTCGACATGGCTTGCCTAGAAGCATATCTGCAGGACCCTGAGGTGAAATTCATCCTCACAGAGCGCACTCCGCAAAGTTGGGCCAGATCATTCAACGGATTCGTTGGCAATATCGTGGCGAATGTCGAAACACCGCTGATGAAAATCCTGCGACACTTCAACCGCACGCTGAACTACTTTTACATCTTGAATGTTGAAGCCTACGACTTCTGGAGTGATTGCACGCGGCCTGGCGACCCCCGCAACCAGGAAAACCTGATGAGGAATTACGAGCATTATATCAGCAACGTGAAGAGGCTGATCCCACCGGACAGAATTCTCGTTGTGAAGATCGAGAATGGGCTGGGATGGGAACAAATCTGTCCATTCCTGGGCAAGCAAGTCCCTAAGGGAGTCGAATATCCGAGAGGGATGGAGCATGAGGATGCCAAAGACAATGTGGTGGCGCCACTGGTGAAAAACGCCATGAAGAAGCTGGCATTGACTGTCATGGTGCCGGTTGCACTGGGAGCGGCAGCGTGGTGGAAGTGGTCTGCATCTAGGTGAATAAGAATGCCATAGGTGGCTGCTGCTTGGATAAAAGCTATCCATACCGGTGATCTGACATGATCAACTGCTCCCAAGAGAACCATAACCGTCTAGATTGAATTCAGATGACCCGATCCTGACCTGTCTCACCACAAACACTCAATGCAAAACGACAGCCTTGTCAGCCTCGTGCCAATTTTCTTTAGGTTTAGCTTCCCTTGAAATGGGCTAGCGCAGTCTTGGCGCGACCTCAAGTTCTTCGCCTTCCATCTTTCCAGCTGCGCCCTGACCTCAACCCTAGCAATCTGTTGAGTTGCATCAGCAACAGTCTCCAACAGGCAGCGCATTATCAGCTGTTGTGCTCCTTCGAATCCCCTTACTGTGACCCTTCACTCAACATGTCGTGGCGCAACCAAGGCATCACAGGTTCTAACAACATCCCCCTCGGCACGCGTCGTCGGCTTGGAGGTGAAGGCAATGGTGACTCGCAAAATGATAGCTCTGCAAGCTCTCCAGCCTGGGGTGACTCGGGCAAGCGTGGGCGAAGTCCTCCCAGAGGTTCGTGGCTCGATCTTGAGCATATGCATGTGACTAACCTGCCCGCAGCTGAACCTGCGGCCGACGACGGCGTCAAGAGGCGTAGAAAGCGCAATCGCTGGGGTGAAGCCGGCGAGAACAAGGCCGCTGGACTCATGGGCCTCCCGACCATGATTCAGGCGAACATGACAGCAGAACAACTCGAAGCATACGCCCTCCATCTCCGGATCGAAGAGATCAGCCAGAAGCTGCGAATCAACGACGTTGTCCCTGCAGAAGCAGACAGGTGAGCAGCGCCCCCTTCTCTCCCCGCACCATTTGTCTTTGCAGGTCCTAACAGTTGTCAGATCGCCATCGCCGCCCCCTCAGTACGATAATTTCGGCCGTCGGGTTAACACTCGCGAGTTCCGCTACCGCAAGCGACTGGAAGAAGAGCGACACAAATTGATTGAAAAGGCCATGAAGACCATACCGAACTACCATCCGCCTTCTGACTATAGGCGGCCTACCAAGACACAGGAAAAGGTCTATGTGCCGGTCAACGATTATCCTGAGATCAACTTCAGTATGCTTACTAACCCTATAACTCTACTACAAACCCTTTGCTTTTGCTCGCTGTTCCACATGCTGTCGTCTGCTCTTCGAGGTCCGGGAGGTAGACGTAGCATCCTGCACTAACCATATTCATTTCCATTGCCCTGAGACATTTTTCGTTTTCGAGAATTCCGTACTAACACTAAGCTTCTTTTTTGCAAAGTCGGACTACTTATTGGACCTCGTGGCAACACTCTCAAAAAGATGGAATCCGAATCAGGAGCCAAGATCGCCATCCGAGGCAAAGGCTCTGTCAAAGAGGGCAAAGGCCGATCTGACGCAGCTCATACTAGCAACCAGGAAGAAGACCTACATTGTCTTATCATGGCAGATACTGAAGAGAAAGTTAACAAAGCCAAGGCACTGATTCACAACGTCATCGAAACAGCCGCATCCATACCAGAAGGACAGAACGAACTCAAGCGAAATCAGCTGCGTGAACTAGCGGCGCTCAACGGTACTCTGCGAGATGATGAAAATCAAGCATGCCAAAATTGTAAGTCTATTCCCTTGGCAATGGAACAACACTTACTGACACAAACAGGTGGGCAAATTGGGCATCGCAAATACGACTGTCCCGAGCAGCGCAACTTCACAGCTAACATCATCTGTCGAGTCTGTGGCAATGCCGGCCACATGGCGAGGGATTGTCCAGACCGACAACGTGGGACCGACATGCGTAACAATATCCCTGGAGGATTTGGCGGACCACAACGACGACTGGGCGCTGCAGATGCTGTCGACCGAGAGATGGAGGTACGTTATTCCAGAATTCCTTTTTATGATCACGCTCCCTGACACCTTACAGAATCTGATGCAAGAGCTTTCTGGTAACCCATCTGGCAACGGCCCGGCGGGTCGCATCGAAGCTGCTCCTGGCGGCTATGATCAGGGCGACTCGTACGCTCCTGGCGGGGATTCTCGTCCCTGGGCACGCCAGCCGGCTGGAGGGGGTGTTGCTCCTTGGCAACGAGACCGACAGGAACGACAGGACCGAGATTACGGTCAACGAGATCATGGTCAACGAGATCATGGTCAACGAGATCATGGCCATCGGGGTTACGAGAGTCGAGATTATAGCCACCGAGATGGCGACTCGTCGGTTCCTCCGTGGGCCCAGAGTCGAGGAGACGCACAAGGAGGATATGGTGGCGCTCCCGCGCAAGGAGCAGCTCCCTGGCAGCAACCGCAACAGCAGCAGCAGCAGCAGCAGCAGGGCCCGCCCGCGCAACACTACGGGTATGGTGGGTATCATGGTTACGATGCTCAACCCGCGTACGGCGTACCTCCCCCGTCGGCTCCTCCTGGACTCAGCTCCTTCTTGCAGCAATATGGCGGTA